GATACCATGCCTGAACGATGGCTGCGGGTTCTTCCGCCCAGGGCATCGATATCGCACACGCAGATTGGCTCACGACGACGACCCGCTTGTTCACTGAGCAAACAGCAGACACGAGCTCGTCCGTTCTCCCAGGCAGGGACAGCGACGTGCGATCGGACCCCTCGCGCTCGGTGTCATTGTTGTGCCCGACAACGAGGACGACAACGTCTGCGTCCTTCGCGGCGTCGACTGCGTTACACCACATGGCCCCCTCATCGTGTCGGTACAGCATGCCCACGCGAACACCAGATATCTTATGGAAGAGCGTGTTGTCGTGTGCTGGCGTCGGTGGGGGCACGACGACATTATCCACCCTGACGCGGTACGTCTTGCCCGCCTCGAGCTCGATGCTGGCGAACTTCTCGACGCTCCCGCAGTTCATGAAATTGCCGCTTATCTCTGTCCACTCAGAATTGTCGATGAGAACCTGGTCGTCAATGTAAAGCTTGGCCCTCCCCGTGTTGGACAGGCTCCAGTCATACACGCCGGTGACACTTGGTCGGAGCAGAGCTGATGCCCTGTAGCCGTACTCCTTGCCCTGTAAGCACTTGGGCACGTCTCCGTCGCTCATGAAGTACACCAGCGAGTTCTTCCAGTACGTGGTCGAAACAGCGTCACCGGAAAGGGTGGCGTCTCCGAAGAAGTCCACGCGGAACCCCGAGGCCCCGTTATCAGGGTTCATCAGGCAATCGCCAATGAGTGGCGGCTGGAGTTGCGTGAAGATGGCACGCTCGTGAGTGATGACTATTTCTGTGTTGCGGGCACGAGCTGCGGCCGATATGCTCTCGAAGGGGGTTGTGGTATAATATGGGTTTACTGTGGCACTGCCTGTGCCTCCGGTCGTAGGTTGTTTAGCGTTGGGTCCGATGATTGCGAGCTTCTGAAAGCCATGCTGGCGCAGAGGGAGGATGCCATCGTTCTTCAGCAACACTATCCCTTCAGCTGCGGCTTCCCGCACGGTTCGCCGCGTTCGAGGGTCGTCAATCTCGCCCTCTCCCTCTAAGCAGTCGGATGTAGCAACTCTCCCCATTTTTGTCGAATCGTCAACTGAAGCGGTGGCCGGGGCAACGTCTTGCAGTAGCCCAGCTTTGTCGAGGAGGCGCAATAGACGTATCACACTTGGGTCAATATGCTCAGCCTCCGAGACAGTGCCTTCCCGAGCAGCACGAGCCAATGCATCGCCGTAGCGCAAGGGCGGCCCTGGCATCTCCAAATCGGTCGTCGCCCGCAGGCTCTCCACGGTGTCGTTCAGGCCGCCCCAGTCACTCATGACGAGTTCCTCAAAACCCCACTCCCGGCGTAAAATGTCACGCACGAGGGATTGGCTCGTGTCGGCATGTTTGCCGTTGATCTTTGGATAGGCAGTCATGGCAGTCCAAGGCCGGGCATCCAGGGCCATGTAAAAGGGCTTCAGGTACACCTCGCGCAGGGTTCGTTCATCGATCTTCTCGTCCATGTTGAACCGCCGGGTCTCCTGGTCGTTGGCGACAAAGTGCTTCATACAAGCCCCCACGCCCTGGGTTTGAACACCTCGTATGTAGCTTGTTGCCATGGTACCGGTCAGAAAGGGGTCTTCACCAAAGTTCTCGAAGTTGCGGCCTCCGAAGGGAGATCGGCTGATGTTCATGGTGGGTGCCAACAGCACATGAGCGCTCTTCATCTTGGTCTCCGCGCCGAGGACAGCGGATACTCTCTCCACTATCTGAGGGTTGAATGTAGCTGCCAGGGAGATGCCGCACGGAATTTGGGTGGTGTGAGTACCGTCGGTCCATCGTGAGCCACGCACCCCAGCGGGGCCGTCTGTGGTTTTCAGACTCCCGATTCCGAGACGGGGGATCTCCTGTGTCTCCCACATGTTTTTACCTGAAAGGAGAATGCATTTCTCCTCCAGCGTCAGGAGGGAAATGATTTCAGCCTCCCTGCCGGCGACTTTCAGACCGTTGGTAGGCCTCGTCGGTATCACCATCGTGTCTGTGACGTGTGGGGTGCGTCAAGTGAAGAGAGAAGGTACGAGCTCGCAAGGAGCAATATGTCGGGATATTTCGAGGGCTCTGGCGTGCGTGGTAGAGTGATACCTGTTGCCTGGGCGGTCGGGTAGTCATCGCTTCTTGAGTGAACGTGGGAATTTAACGTCCTGCGAAGGAGGACCATTGCCATAACATGCGGCCATCATGTTGCTCCACGCATCAATGAACAAGTCTAACACTAGTACTCCGTAAAATTGGGCTACAATAGGAGAGCCTGCGGGTTTACAACTATACTCTGCATCACCAGCCTCGCCCGCCTCGCCCGCCTCGCCCGCCTCTCCCGCCTCGCCCGCCTCGCCCGCCTCGCCCGCCTCGCCCGCCTCTCCCGCCTCTCCCGCCTCTCCCGCCTCTCCCGCCTCTCCCGCCTCTCCCGCCTCTCCCGCCTCTCCCGCCTCTCCCGCTTCTCCCGCTTCTCCCGCTTCTCCCGCTTCTCCCGCTTCTCCCGCTTCTCCCGCTTCCCCCGCTTCTCCCGCAGTCCCCACCTCATCTTTTGTGGCACATGATCGCGCCGCTGGTGTTCTCGGCGCATACAGCGCAGGCTGTAGCCCCATACCCAGGAGTAGCCTAGGGTTGGTTTCTGTCGGGCTCTTCTATTAACAGCACCAAATTGTCATGATTTGACGGATATTTACAGGGCATAAGCGCGGGGCGAGGTTATGTGACAATCGCTCGGCATGTGCCTCTCGCTGTCATTTTTCTGAGGCTACTGGACGTAGGCACCATGAGCTTGGAAATTGGCCGTCGAGGGGTCAATGGGTTTCTAGGTCCCGGCTTCATCAGTTGCTTGAGTAGAACGATTAGGGCTGTACGAATTTCTACACGCAGCTCCAGCCAATTTGGATGGTAACATTCCAACCTCCAGTCGATGAGTGTAGCCGCTAGGAGCACGAATCTACGTTCACTTGCGCTAGATAAATAGGCTGTCGATTATGGCTCTGCACTGGCAAATGTTCCATCCATATATTGGAAGATTACCCTCCCAAGTCAGTTCTGGTGAGGCTTAATGTGAGTACTTCCTGTCCCAAAGGTCTACTTGCTTGGCCCTCTAGTCACCGAACCTACACGACTGGCGACTGAATTTTCCGTCGACTAAATACATTTATCATCCGTTATCCCAATTCTCACTCGGTAGTATGCAAGTTTTGCCCGGGCTGTTCCTGATTCTGAGTTGATTGTGCTGGGGGACCATCTCCAACGAAATGGACAGGGTAGCGTCGAGTTCGATCGACTCTGAGATCAAAAACATCCAGTCGCTGGTATCCACCAACCACATCATGATACTGCTTGCCTTCGATACAATCCTCCAGGTCCATATCAGCGTATAAAATTCCCTCTGTGTCCTGCAACAGGTCCTTTGGCACGGGAGATTCCTGCTCAAACACAAAGCTTGGCAGCGGTGCTCCTGTAGGATCCAAAAACATAGTGGCGCCTTGCTGAGCGTCTTCCAGAGCCCGAACTGCATCGGGGCTAGCGCCTGATGATATCACGTCGATAGCGTCCTGTCCTAGCTTTCCTGTGCAGAGAACGCCAAAGCATTTCGCCTCGAAGCAGTGCGCAGCTGCGCGAACTCGGTTGGCAGCGACATTGTCGTAGTTTGCGCCCCGAGAAACAGTCGATATCTGTACCATTCCCGCTGAAGATGTGTCGTCTTGGTTATATGGTGGCTTGGGAACCCTTGTTGGCCAGATGGCGGGCCATGTCGAAATATGGAGTTGCTCTCCCTGGGCCATGAGCGTGTATCGGGCAAGGGGGTTTGTATTCTCGCCACAGATTAAGTTTCCGATCTTTCCAAATGGCGTATCAGCAATACGTAGGCCATGCCCATCGCCCGGAGCCCAAGTAAGCCTCTCGAAGAAGGTCGGCATAAGCTTCCGATGGTGTACCAGAACATCACCATTGCCGCCGATAATAATGTTCGAGTTGTACAAGGTCGCGCTGCTGAAGCGGACTTTCTCAGAGAACCCAATACTGACGATGATGTCGAGCCTCTTAGCCTCCCTGCGGATGGCAGTGATTTCAGCGCCATCAGAGTAGACAGATTCTAGGGCCATCCGCTTGAAGAGGTCATGGTTGTCGGTTGGCGGGCGCAATGCACTCCATATCGGGAATGCTGGGATGAAGGTCTCGGGGAAGACAACGAGGTTGGCCTTATTTCTGGCGGCCTGCCGAATGAGAGTGAGAGCTTTGTCTGTTGTCTGCTTGGCGGAAAGAAACACAGGAGAGGCGTGGCAAGCGGCCACCCGTAAGAAAGAGGGCATGATTGAAGTTTGTTGTTTCCACAAGAAGTGTAATGCGTCGTGTCCAGCGATTTAACGATAAGGGAATTCAGGCTTTTACTTATAGTTTGTTATAATTCCTCAAAGTGAAGCGAACACCGTCGTCCCGCTTTTGCAGCTGCTGGGCGGCTCGGGCCCGCGGCAAATAAAACAAACACCGAATTCGGCACTAATTCTAGCTTCCGCTTGAACTCTCTTCGATATCAGCATGGGGTTGACGCCGACAGCCCATACTAGTTCTCGTCAGTGTGGTCCGGAACGGGTTCATTGTTAAACCCCTCGTGTGGGGACCTGGTGCTCTGCAGGCCTGCAGGGACAGCTGGCGAAGCCACTCAGTCATGCTGGTGCCAAATTAGCCTGGGACAGCCACTACCAGCAGCCCTGGGCTCATGGCTTTGCCGAGGATATCGATGGGCTTTTACGCGGCGAAAGACTCCGTGATCCAGACCCTCCGACCAGATATAGCATGCTTCTGGAAGTACATAGGGGAAGGAGGCGAGAAGGAAGGCGAGAGATTACGCCTTGTATGAGCTGGCAAAGGGGCATTTGGTGGCGTGTCTAGATAGTGGGCGGAGCCTGATGGATGGAATGTAGACGGCTGGAACGTACAGTTCAATACCGCGGCAGCAAGCTTTCTAGCGTCGTCATCGACGTCCGCGGAGAAGCCATGGTCAACGCATAATGTTACCCTCTAGCGCTGACGCTCCTGACCTCGTGACGTCACCTAGCATTCGACACAGCTGTTACCAGTTGAACTCGTGTTGTCTCCTGACAACGTGGCTGCGAACTCGGTGTACTGGTTCCCGTGCTGTCGAATCGTGCTACCTCCACCGTGACAACCTCCTACCATTCTTTCATCGGGCAGATCTTCCGGGACCTGTGGCAAAGCTGCAGACATCCAGTTGTCAGACTCTCTCGTAGTCAGGGCTGACACTCGTAGGCACGGTAAGTGTTAGCTATTCATTACGCGGCACAGTACCGTACGCTGCTAGAGCTAGTTCAATTCATGCCCAGAAAGCATGGTTATCAAAACGTTTGCAATTAAATCACCAACCTTGTACAAGAACACTATGAGTGTGCTAAAACCTCGACTAAAAGGTTCCCCTAGGCTTTTTACTATAATCTTTAGACAATGGCTGCCGTCACCGCCGACGCAAGGACGAATCATTCCGTTCTAGCCCGGCCGCAAGACAAAGATATTCCTCAATGTATCCCAGGCGGCTAACAGCTGGACGGCTCAAAACCGTAGCAGCACCTCCGAGATATCTTCTAGCAGATGGGTCTCAATGGCCAAGAGATAGTAGTTATGTTAGGAGCCCACGCGCTTGGACGGTGCCACACAGATGGATCAGGCTCTAGTGATTCTTGGACCATTTCGCCTACTATTCACACATACGATCTCTATAAACTCCTACTACAAGAGAAATGGCAGTGTAAGTGGGACCAACCTGCTCAGTACGATGGCGCAGCAACCGTAAGATTAATGATACTACCAACCGACTTCGCCCTTATCAATACGACAGTTCCAGGAAATGCATCCAGCCGTACGCTCAAAATAATGACTTCTTTAGAGAGCTCTCGGGGGCTGAGATGAGACGCTTTGGCCTCGGCGAGCTTTTTGAAAACTCAAAGAAGAATCGGTGGATGATGAGGGATATTGAAAGCAGACGTCAGCCCAATCGTATTTCAAAATGCTACGCTTGTTCTTGTGTGCGCTTGTGTCATCCCTTCCCCGTTTGACATTCCATCGTCCCAGCTGCTCTTGACCTCGAGCTCAACGGTCTGGATCACGCCCGTTCCTGGAGTACAATTGATGTACTCAAAGACTGCATCTCCTTCCCGCAAAATGGAAACCTCATGCCAAGTGCGCAACAGCCTAGCATCACCGAATGCTTTATAATGCGTCAGTGCGCCGCGATATATAGCTAGATGAGAGGGATGAGTCTTGGCCCAGTGCTCCAATCTATCAAGGCTGCTGAAAAAAGCAGTACCGCAAGTCTCTTTTCGAGGTCGCCCGCTCGATGGAGCATCGTCTTCGTTCTTGAGATAACGAACACCCATGGCTTCGGTCTCTTTAGGATGCTCCCAGAGGTACTGGAGCCCTTCGTGGAGTGTGGGCTCGAGTTTCCTCTCGTATGCATCAGCCTCCTGCTGGCCACAATTCTCCCAAAACTGCCCGGACCGAATGTGAACGAGGTTGTGTTGGTTGGTGCCGATCAAGTGTTGTCCGAGACCTGTAGGAACTGTACGAGGCAGGGTTGCGTGTGGGGTTTTCGGAAATAAGTCATGCGAAGGATCAGGAATGCGATCTCTCGCAGCACCCCAATAAGCAGAAAGGCTGTGCTCCTCAGTACCTGCGCCTGGGAGCCTCGCCAAACCCGGAAGATAATCAAGACCGGAGTAATTGGTCTCTAGTCTCGGAATGGCAGTAGCAAAACTTTCTCGCCAGATGCCCATAGAGCCCCGGCCTTTCTCCTCTAAACCGGAGAATAGAGTGGCTAACGAAAGGTGTTTCAGGGCCTGGTGATACTTGGCACTATCAAGCCAGTAGCAGACCCAGATAAACGAATCAGCTTTCTCGGCCCCATCAATCATCGTGAAAGACTCCGATGCACCTGGACCATGATCCGCCCGGAGCCAACTTCTGATCGCAGAAGAAACATGAGCTCGAGCCCGCGTCGAGGCTTCGTCCTCCGAGCGCATCTGGACTCCAATGTAGGTCGTGAAGACGTGCGTGACAGTCTTAGCAAGTGCAAGCTGCCATCTGGGAATCGGAACGCGATGGTTCTTCGGCTTGCGTAGAGGATAAAGACGTACGGGGCAAGACATTTTGTGGATATTACGGATAACAAACCCAGCTAAGGAATGAAACGAGTTGAGAATAGGTACCCTCTAGTCCGGTTGCCCCATAGATGCGAGACAAACACAGTTTATCTACTAGCCCGACTGACGCAGTATGTAAAACCTTCAGCAGCTCGGCTTCATTTCTAGGATCCGATGTTGTGGTGATTCTGTTTCTGGTCACTGGACGCTCTCCATCGGTCTCTTTTTCTGAAGCCGGAGCCCGTTTGCCCATTTTCGGGGTTTGTAAGAACACCAACTACTTGTTCCTCGTAGTAGGCTTTAAAATTAGTGCCACCCTACAAGAATGGTGTCATGCAAAACACCAAAAAACCCATACCTGTTGGTGGATCCCGTGGAACACCAACAATACCTGTGCCTCGTAGTTGGCCCCAAAAGTGGTGTCATCCAAAACACTAAAAACCTCATACTAAATTAGCTTTTCCAATACAACAGATGGCCACGCCCAATAGTAAGATTGGCCGATTGATATAACTATATTGTGATGGTCGGGTCCAACCTAGGGGTGTAGGGTAGGTCCGGAGCGTCGTGGTGCATGATCGAGTGGATCAGGATGTCGCACCGAGCAATGAGTCTCGTTACGGGTGTGGTAATGGTAAAGAGGTAGTCCTAGTGTAGCCAAGTCTGTTAATAGTTGAGGAGCTGCTTGTTCGACATGTGCACTCCAGGCGTCTATATATAAGCTGTGGATTTCTAGGGCTTATGAAGCTATATTGGTGACCGTCGTGATCCAGGGTAATCTATCCATGACAAACTCAAGAGCCATGGACTTAGTTGAGGCCGAGACGCCGACCTTGGTCGTGTTGTACCAGGTCTGGGTGGCGCCCATGCGGAGAGCGTTCTCGCTGGATATGACGACGGTCGAGCCCGGACCGTTCTTCTTCATCTCGGGGATGAGGATCTTGGAGTCGAGGTAGACGCTCTTCACGTTGACGCTGAAGAGACGTTCAAACCCGTCATCCGTGACTTCGACGCAGGACTTGTTGGGATACGACCAGCCAGCATTGTCCGCAACGATGGAGAGTGCCTGTCCGAATCTAGTAATAAAAGTCTTGAGTTGCGGGAGGTATGAGATCAATCCCAAGCCCGCCACTTATTACAAGGAACGAGAAAAGACTTACAACTCTCTTCCAGCTTACCTCCTCGGCAACTTTGGCCTTGATCTGCCAGCCCTGCTGCTCAGTGTAGCCTTCTACAGGGCCGTCGGTTGCCTACAGGTCGGGGCCGAGTATAACTGCACCTTCACGAATGAAGGTTTCCAGAATGTCTCTACCAAAACCCTAGGTCGAAGCCGTCACATTCACCTATTTCGCCGATATGGAGGAGATCCTACTCGTAATCGTGGTAGTGTTGTCAGCTTGAATGGCTTCACTTCACTCTGAACCTCTATGTAGTTGAGGTAGCCTTCTTAAGAGTACCCAGACATCCTTCCCGTGTCTGTATTGCATGGATTTATGGACCATTCTCTAACCCCTAGGCAGCAGATGCAGATTGTTCAAACTACCCAGTCGGGACCTAAATTTGGGGACATTTAGGTGATGAGTTCTTACCGGAATCTGAGCCGGATGGAAATTCATACCAGGGAAACATCCTTGGAAGAGACGAAATAAATAGCAACCGCCTTATGTAATGGCTGGCTGCTTATTTATCTGAAAGTGCAATTCGGGCCTCTTTCAAACTCAATGCTTCTAGTTATTCTAGTAGTTCTACAACTACCTTCGTCGACGACTCTAGACACGGATCGCGTTCTTTTCCGCGATAATCTTTACCTCAGCCTTGATTCCGAGATGGTCCGTCACCCACGCTTTCTCAAAGCCAAGGGCCACGATCTGACTGCTCTCCTCCTCTCCTTCGGTCAACACATCCGCACCAAACCTCTCGAACTTGACCACCTCAGCGCCGCCACAGAAGTAGACCTTGTCCATCCTCGAGCACCCAAACTTCTCTCGGAGCTTTGTCGCCGCCTGCTGACCCCAGGTATAGCCCTCCTCGCTATCCTCCTTTCCGCCCAGCTCCAGGAACGCGTCCTTCAGGCCGTTATCCGTGTGCAACGTGCGGTCGAACGGCTGGATGGCGTTGAAGTCTCCCGCAGCCAGGGCGGCATGAACCTTCTCCTCACGCAGGTATTCCGCCACGATCTGCATCTGGGGCGGGCGGGCGGAAGGGCGGGTTGAGGGCCATGGACTCAAGGTGCGTGTTGCATAGGCGGACGGGCTTGCCCTCGAGAGACACGTCGACGAAGAAGGCGTCGCGATCCATGCGAGTCTTGGAGTAGTGTACGCGGAAGGCGGCCGTGATTGGCAGGCGGGAGTCAATGAGCGTCACTGTGCCGTAGAGAGAGGTCGCCCAGTTGGTTGCGTCCAGGTCGCTCAGATGGAATCGTTCCCGGACCCACGGCGTGGAGGCGATAGTGGCCAAGTCAGAGGGCGTGCACTCCTGAAGGAAGATGACGGGAGCCGTGTTCGGCGGGCTGGAGGCTATCAGGCTACCGAGGTAAGCGAGTGCTGGCTTCATCCGGGCTTCAGCGAAGGGAAGCATGAAGTCGATGTTCCAGCTGTAGAGGGCAATGGTGTTGATTCCGCCAATGTCTGCAGTTTGGGCCTCATCATCTGACGACGCTTTTGAAGCCCAGGAAGAAGTCGCCGAGTCGAATGTGTACCAGGATTGCGGATGCGGCTCATCGTCGTTCCATGGCACCGAGGTCTTCTGTAATGTCGCGCTATCTTTCATCGCTTGGCCCATAAGGGCCTCCATGCTGTTGCGGCCGTAACGGAGTGAGTTGTAGGCGTGCACCAAGCTGGCGAGCACCCGGAAGCCAAATGTTGATTGTGGCATGATGAGATGAGATGATGTTTCTGGATTGCTGTTCGAGGCAGTGCGAGGATGGGTTTCGCACCATGCTTTACGCAAAGTGCAAGAGCAGCGGCTGTCACATTTCGGGGTCATTCTGAGACGCATGATAACCTTATTTCCGGCTTTCCTAGACAACGTGACTTTCCTTTCTTTCCCCTCTTATCTCAGACCACATCGTCGGCCCTGTGACCACGATGCCGGTCCCTGAGGCCCACAGGGGTCCCGGCCCCTGTGCGGCGGCGACGGACTGCCGCCTCCGGCAGCAGCCGTCTTCATCATGTATAAAAGACGGGCCCTAGGCCCGTCCCTTAGCTAGAATATCAAGAGCTTCTCACACACATGATCTTATCCATTCACTTGATGCAACAGCGGCAGTTACTCCAGAGGCCACACCAAGCTCCTTGCACTGGGACTTTCACGTCTTCACATGGGCTGCCGTGCTCCCACACCTTGAAGAGGCTAGAGGAAGAAAGACAAAGTCTTTTGCTCGAGCATTTCTATCCCCACTGGCACTTGAAGCGAGATGTGGCTCAGCCACGGCCCGTGCTAGAACCACAGCGAGCTATAGACCGGCTCTCTCAGAGACCTGTTCAACCGGCGACGAGCACACGACGCGAACCGTCTACATTCGAGAGGCTCGAGCGCACATATCTTTCGAGTGATTTACTCTCATCCTGGTCTTGCATTTTCTCTCGTATCTCGCCTTGATTATGATGTAGTTCTTGTGATAGATAATGCTTGGTGAAGCTTAAGGGTGAAGATAAGTCAGGCAAGAAGATGCTTCGGTTCAACGAGTTGAGGGCTGTGCCAAAAGACGATAAGGAGGTAAGGATCTAGGACATATTTGGCTGTATTCCCCTACTAATCTGTCTTCTTTCTTTGCAGGTTAACCAAATTATATGGAAACATAACGCACTCGTGCTCTTGTTATTGTGCTTACAGGCAATGAACGGATTGAGAAGAAGAGGAAGAAGCCAACGTTAGAGCAGCTTCTGCATGGGCGATACAGAGTTTTTTGCTGACGAATCCGTGAAGAAGATACGGGGTTCCTTTGTTCGCCGCTATTTACAACGATGAGATGAACGGAGTATACCTAGGAGACCAAATGAGATTGTATCTGGGCTACAATCACTGCTTTCACCGCGGCTCTTGGCAGGCCCCAGCCTGGTCCTTCCTCCTTGACATAGCCCTCGTTAACAGCTGTTTTCTTCCGCTTCAGGCCAGCCAGAGTGGAAGAGCTGCACAAGCCAGGGGCTGGCGATACCTACTTATTGACAAGATTTCCAAGCAATATCATACTGCCAGTCAGTCAAGGAAACAGCTTAAGACTGAGGATGAATGAACCGCGGTTAAAGAGCATAATTACGTCTATGGAGGGGAAAGATCACACTGCCTTGATCGCCAAGGAAATCGGGTTGGAAAACCACGGTCAAAAAGGGGGAAGTTAAAGGAAATCAGCGGTAATATACAGCTGTGAAGGGTCTGGTAACTTATAGCGATTTTGTAATAATCCGGCTTGTTGGGACGTCTATCACTAGCTAATTTAGGTAGGGAAATAAGGACCTCTGATTTAAGGTTTTCCCGTTAGCTATCGGTCCCCGTCCTGACCGCTTTGCCTCGGAGGTTTATGGCGCTCACAGGGATGCAACTTTGACTTTGTTTTCTTACCCGACCCCGTACTTGTGATTACTAGCTCCATCCTAGCCAAACCCCTCTTCGTCGATTTGCCGAAATGGGCACCGTGTTTGTGTCGGGACCGTCCGGGACTCCAGGAGGTGGCGCGTGACCCCGCCCATTCCTTCACCCCTGCGCTAAAACGGTCGGGTTGTCTCCGCGTTCGTCGGCAAGCCGATGCATCATGTGGGGGTGGTGTGCGGAACAAACGCGAGAACTTGGGCGACTCCCCCGGGTTGCGGAAACCTGGGCGGCTCCCCCGGACTGCTGAAACATGGGGTTCACCCCACGATTTACAGAAAATGGGCCCGTGTCGTGTCGGGCCAAAGAAGGAAGTCCGACGGTGCATTGTAAAGGACCCGCTTGACAGGACGTGACACTCACTCATGGCCGATTCGCCATCGTCACCTTTCTGCCGCAATAGAGGCGGTGTAGAGGTCCCCAGTCATGCTACCTTCGGATCCCATGCAGCCAGGCACGACGAGTGCCTGGTTGCCTCCTTGGACTACGGGAGGTACCAGCAGCTGCTTAATAAAATGCAAATCAGGAAGGAAGCACCCATTGTGGAAATAAGAAGAGCTGGAATTCGACTAGAGGCATTGCAAACAAAAACAGTGTAGAAAACTCAGGGGCATCTTGCTAATTAAGGTACGTCAAATCTAGGGTGCTTTATGCTCCACCTAAATTACCCTGTGATAGTAGTCCCAACAACACTGTAAGCTGTAAATTGAAAGATCACACTGCTCACATCCCTTCGTTGATTGTCGCGCCGTGGCCTCCTTCTATTGCTACTAACCGGCGCTCGAGGCCGACAGGGCTGTGTTTTGCACAGGTTGGCGCGAAATCCACCTCAAAAGGAAACCTTTTGGGCTATAGCTAGAGCTTGAATCCTGTGTTGGTGGTCTTGGCGGGGATGCAAGCTGACTGCAGACTTCTCCCTGTTTAGCACACCATATACGCGTCTACAGCGAGGTGAGAGCTTGTTTCGAAGAGCTGCATGGACGCGTGTTGTATGTCGTCAGACCACCCCCCAGACTACTGTATCTCGGTTGGGTAGAGCATAGTTCAAGCCCCATAAGGCTGCCAAGAGAGAGAGTCACTTGATGGCGATTTGTAATCCAAAAGAAGCCCCCTTTAACCCCCCTCATATGCTACCAACCTACAAACATCTCTTCAATATTATTAACTCAAGCGATCTCTACGTATACCGAACGGTGGTGGCGTACTCGGGGAGATATTCCAGGACTCCATCTCCACTCTGCCGGTGACGGGCGCCCCGTACCCTTTACGGGGTAGTAACTTTACATTCATTCATTCATCACTAATCCAGCAATTGACCCAACCCTGCGAGGTGATGACAGGGTTCTAACTGGGTAAACTTTTACTTGATGGTTAGTATGGCGGATTTACATACGCACATCTGTTATGAAAACCAGTGATGAGTTACGGTGAGAAGAGATGGAGGTTTTAAGTGACGCGCAAAGGAGTTGATTGGACGCTTTGAATAAAGCCCTAGTGACCCCTGTTCCTTGCTCACTCTATTAATATCTGAGGATAAGGCGATCTAATAAGTTTCGATAGCTGGATAATGTCACATGTAGCAATAGGTAATCGGGGTTATAGGAAGCTCTTGAAATTTAACTATCTTAACGCGGGAATAAGCGCCCTTGTTTCTATCTGTTTAGTGACATCCTAGCTAAGAGGGCTTTCCTGTGGCGAGATGATTTTCTGACCGGAAGGCTGGGGTTCCTCCCAACCGGACTGATCTGCTGTGACAGAAATGTAAGGGCCTAGTTTGGCAATCAAGACAAAGCTCAGCCGAAGAGTCCTCGCAATTTATGCTGCTGCGGGCCTCGGCACTATGGGATGTTTCTTGTGGAAGACATTCTCTGGATCATACCGTGACTTTACATCCTGCAGACGTGGGTAATTCTCCTTGAAGATGTACTCAGCAGTGGTCCCTGGTAGCAGACTTGCATTTGGATAGACTCTCCAAACTTTAGTTGGCCCAAACTCTTCGTCATGCTTCTGCCGGACCACTTCCACGACCTCTCTAGCAGCTTGTATAGCTGCATTTTCGTCCTCTGCTTTTTCGGTCCTGTTGTACGCGGTTTTCAGTCAGGACAGTGTCTGTTAGGAGGTTCAGTTCATACTCACGTGATGTATACGGCACAGTCCCGCCAGGACCTTTCACCATCGCTCGGAGGGAAACGGAACGGCCAGACGCTGTCAAACTGGGGACCAGTGTTCTCAAAGGTCTTGTACCAGCCGTATAAGCCCATGAACATGCTTGACCCTTTGTACCTGCTCTCTTCGCCGGCAACCCATTGTCTAATGCGGTCAATTGCTGGGAGCCATACTTTTGGCGATATTCGTGTAAAGAGCGTCCCGTTCGAGTAACGACGCATGGGCATCCATACCGAGGCAGGAGTGCTATCTGCGGATCTTGGATACCACTGCAGCCCAGTTGTGTCAGCGATATGTGGAACATCAAGTAACTCCTTAAATCGTCGCCGACCCTCAGCTTCGTCATTGCCGTGGTAGTAAGGCATTGCCAGGATTGACTCCTTGTGGCCACCATCTGGGTCAACATTTTGGTAGACAAATGCTACCGTGTCTTCTTCCTTTTGGCGCTCGATATACCGTTCAGCAGCCTCGAACAAGGCCTTGAATGACGATGCGGGGTACACAATAGTCCCACAGAATATCTGGTTTGGGAGACCCCAAACTCGGATCTTCACACTCGCCACAACTCCGAAACCGTATCCGGCCCCCTTGACAGCCCAGAAAAGATCTGGATGAGACTTTTCGGAGGCAGTTACAACCTCTCCAGAGGCTAGAACGATGCGAACTTCAAGGAATTGGTCGACGGCATGCCCCATAAGACCCGATGTCCACCCTGCTCCACCGCCTAAGGCGAAACCCATATATCCGAGTTCTTTAACCGCTGGCAATGGAGTGCAGGTGCCTCGCGCGGCACAGGCTTCAGCGACGTCCCCAGAAGAAGCACCTCCTTCAATGGTCATGACTCCGTCGGCGCCAAAGTGCGTGTTCTCAACCCAGGTGCCTCTCATGCGTCGCAAGTCGATGTGAACACCTCCCTTTGAGCTAGATGCGGCCAAGAAAGAGTGGCCACCACACACTACAGCCACCTCAATGTCATTCGAGACGGCGTACTTGACTGCGAGGGATATGTCTTCCTCGCAAACGGGCTCGAAAATAAGCTGAGGCTCATTCTGCTCGTTTGCAGACCAGCGTTCAATGAGACGGCCATAGGCTGGATCTTGGGGGGTGGAAATAACTAAGGACACGGCATGTTAACCCTGGACGGACTATAGCCATGAATGCGCCATAGCAGATTCAGTGACTTACACCCACGAAAGCTCGCACGCACATCTGCCAATGCCAACTTTGCCATGTTGGTCTGAAGACTGTAATAACTTTTGAAGACCTGGTTGTGACGCGATGGTGTAGGGACACACAAACAAATTTTGCGACTTGATCTTCTCAAACGTACGGGTTTCGATGAATTGAATGCCTAAAGTAGCATGTAATATCATGTCCAGACAGGGTTGAAGCCATGTTTTAAACAACTGAGGTTGTTCGTATCAAGAGGTGAGAGTGCCACCTAGGAGGAGAACCACTCAAACGATCGGGCCACTCTCCTCAACTCATCGGAGGCACAACGACACAGTGTATTCTCGGCACGTCTGGTCGGCAAGCGGGTCTGGCCTTCTTTCTCGGTACGGTCCTCTTTGGTTCCACTTCTTTGCACATTACTTGGGGAAGAATGACGCTGCGGGGCAAGGAGTAATTAGGTTTCTCCACAATGTCGACAGCCACCCCCGGCAATCGGCAATGCGCAACCCCCGGGTGTGATTCCGTTGAGCGGGCCGAAACCTAACTGTTCGGCTGAGATTAGCTGGCAGGCAGAATGGGAGGGGCCACGTCACGGATCAAACGCCCCAGCCCGAAGCGGTGTATCGGTCTGACTCCGGGTTTGGCCAAGCTTCTCTCGTTTACTGTACGCGAGCCTCGGGATGGATGACCTAGAGATAGGAGGTTGGACAAGATTATACTGGAGATACCTAGACCCAACTTTCAGCTGCGATGCCTGTCTGGGCCTAAGGTGTTGATGCTTTAGTACCTAACAGCAAAAATTCAGTCAAGGCCCGAAGGACGACTGTACCGATTGTATTATTGCTGCACAAACAGAGATCCGGGTTAGGATGTCAAGAGAAGCATATAAGGGCACCGGCTAGGAAATTAAAATTAAAAAAACCTCTTGATTGATTGATTGATCAGAACCACATCTAGCAGATGTCGGTTTTGGCCACCTTCACGTGCTGCAACCATGCCGCGGAGTGAACCAATAAGACTCATACCGAATCGAATCCCTTACATGAGCATCGAGATTCGGTACGCAAATTGCCTGGGGCCACTCCCTAGGTTGGTGCGCTAATGCCAAGGCTATGGAAGAGCCCGATTACGGGCCTTGTCTACTGCAGTCACAAAACATCAATTGCGAAGCATGGAACACCTTCCCTTCGCGCTGGGTCTCAAGGTCAGGCGTCGATCGGTACGTACTTGTGTGTGCTCCGGCTATGATCCATGCTGATTAAATCTTGGAGCGGCAAGGGGTGGACCCAAGAGCAGCGCAAAAGGGGCACTATTGACTTGGTTTCACACACACTTCCCAGTCAAGCTGCCACCATGCCTCAGTAATGGAATACTCGTATTAGTCACTAAACTCGTTACGTTTGCCCTCCACCATGTAGGGTAGCATAATAGTATTAACGAGATAGACTTCATTTTGCGTTTCTATCACCATAGGAAACCAAGCGTCCTTCTCTTGTTCTTTCTATGAGCTAAGTAGGTGCAACATATCTTAAAACCCTGGGAATTGAAATGGGTCTTCCGCTGCCCTCTTCTCTGTTCCTCCATCATTCTCCAAGCCTCCTAGAAACTTAGTGTTGAGTGTATACAGCTCCGGGTCTGCCCTGATTGTAGATGCCTGGGTAATAACATCTTCTAGATCTTGCTGAACGTCGAAGTACTTGCCCTTAAGCGCCTCCTTCGCAATGCCAGTGGCTAATGCAACCGATACCATGCCACTTAGGTGGGGCGAGTCTTTGAAGGTTTTAAGAGAATCGAGGAACATCTTCCCAACATGAGGGTACTCAGCAAAGAAGCCAGCCGCACTTCCTACACCCAAGGTTAGTAGATTTCAAGGCGACGATACGCGGAAGGAAAAACCAAAAGCAAGCCCTAAGGATGTCATACCTGCTGATGTAAGTTCCGAGTGTACAGCTCCGGGATGGAGCGCGTACATGTGAATATCGTCACATCCAGTTGAGTTTAGCTCCAGCTGCCAGCAGCTCGTCATCCTGATCAGGGCGGCCTTGCTTGTGCAGTAGATTGTGTTGAACGGAATGTCAATAGTTCCCCCACGTGAGGCTATGTTGATGATGCAACCTTGTTTCCTTTGCATGAAGCCCGGTATTACCAGCCGCGCCAGGTAGAATGGGCCTAGCAGATTAACAGCTAGCCCATCGAGGAGTCTTTCTGGGTCGTGAGAGTGCAGCTAGAGGGCCGCAACCGATTAGCCAACTTCCCATATTAGGTACATATCTCTTTCTTGTTGGTGTTTGAAATCATTTAGCGTACCGGTCCTAGATGGTCCACCCCTGCGTTGTTAACGAGCACGTCGATACTGCCGACACTCTTCTCGACCTGTGGCAAGACAATGATTAACATCGAGATCAACTAAATTAGAAACTGGGCAGGCACAGCATAGGGAGAACAATCAAGGGGGTACATGGGGCTGTTCTATGTATAGGCCGCACCTTTTCCACGAGCTCCCGGCAACTGGTCAAATCGGAGATGTCGCACTGGATGAATGTCACGCTGCTCGCTCCAAGCTTTGTACACTGCTCTTTGAAGTCGGGCTTGGCCGGGGTACGGTTGTACACAAGGACTAGCTTGGCGCCAGCAACAGCAAAACACTCCGCTAGAGCTCGACCGATAGTTCCAGCAGATCCTAGCATGCGAGAGTCAAAGTCAGCTTGGCAACAATGCTTGCTTCGGATGACAGTCCGAACGACGTGTTGTTGCACTAACCTGTGATCAACACGACTTTGTCTTGCAACGAGCCCTTGAACTTGGCGGGTTCAATGAAAGGGTAAATTTCGTTGTGTAGCCGTGGACTGTACTGAGTCGTCATGCTAGGACTATCGTCGACTGGTGTGGTGTGGTGGGTTTGTCTGGCTGCTGAATGACAGGTGCTTAGTCGTCTTGGACTATGCTGTTTTTGTTTGCAAGGTGTCTGTCGGGTTAAAGAGTCCCAGCTCTTTTGATTCCAGAATGGGTGCTTCCTCCCTGATATGCATTTCGATTAGCTACTGGTACCCCTTCTAGTCCAAGGAGGAATGGGACACTCGTTGTGCCTGGCTGCGTGGGGTCCTGTTGCGGCAAAAATGCCGGATTCTCTTCTTTGGCCTTGCAAAATTTGGGGAGAAGAACCCGACATCTCCGCACTCCCAGTGGAGCCGCCCGGGTTTGTTACTTTATTAAGCGCACACCTCCCACATGATCAGCTTGGCCTGCCGACGTACGCGCTGGGAACGCGGAGGAACCGCGGGGACAAGCAGTGCCTTGGCAACCGAATGTGCGCGGGGTATGCTAGTATCAGACTGGGGACATCGGCATGCCGACCTGCATGGACTCACAGGTTCGGGGTCAGAGCCAGATCTGCGGTGTTCGGGAAGTTGAACTGCTACCAAAACCGGCGTTATAATTACTGTGGGCTGTAGGCAGAACTGCCGTTAATTTGCCCTATTAGTTGTAGGGGTGCTTAGCTGGTCCTTGATAAAAGTCATGAAGTACTTCAAGCAACCTCGCCTTAAGTAAGCGGTGTTTGTAGATGACAATGCGCCGCCCGGGCATATAGTTATCCGGATCCGCGAGGCCGAGGTACAGGTACCTCAAATTTGAGAGGTAAGCTTTTCCTACTCGTAACCGTACATTGTTCTGCAGCCGCTCTTCCCAGCCTCTCGCCGAATCTTGCAGCGGTAGCGCCTCTGCTTCAAAGGGGCACTAAGACCCTGGGATATCTTGACTTTCGGGCTTTACCAAACATACTCACCGCCTTTCATGTGCTCCGAATATCCGCGGACCGGGCATTGTATCAACGAGATTCATTGTGCCGGTTTTCCTTGCCGGTGGTTTGGGTGCCGCTTGCTACCCCGCGAATCCGCCTACTAGCTCCTCTTTCATTATACCGGCACTTAGGACGGGGCGTAATTAGTTCGATAACTTACGTAAGGTTTATAGAGGGCTCTAAGTCAAGATGAATCAAGAACGTAGCACCTTGTAGTCACATCTAGCTATATATGAGGAACGTGCTGCTAGTTAGCCCATGAAGTTAAATCTAGTCTTTACACCTGTGAGTCAATGGTTACTTCCCATCATTAAACTCTTTAGTTTACACTATCAGAACAAGCACCATCTTTCGTCATGGCGGACCAACCGAGAGAAGTGATCTACCTATCCACCGAAGGTCCTGAGATTAGGAAGATCACCGATAAATATCAACCCGAGGACTCTCAGTTTCTTATAAAGGTTGAATATTCCGGTATCAATCCCGCTGACATCAAACATCTTACCCTGGGACTTCACTCCTCCGTTGCTGGCTATGATTTGTCTGGAGAGGTCATCTCAGCAGGCCCGAGCTCGAAATTCAGAGCCGGCGACAAAGTGTTTGGCTCAAACCCGGCTAGCCCGAATCGACCTCTCTACCAGGGCGCTCATCAGGACTTCGTGATTGCAGATGGGCCTGATTTCTACAAGGTGCCATTACAGCGAGTGACCATGGTTGAAGCAGCTACATTATCTGTAGTGACCCACACTGCTGCCGATGGACTTTTCAACATCCTAGGTCTCGCGTTTCCGTCAGCTGGCTTTGATGGAACCGAAAAGCAGAGCCTTCTGATTTGGGGCGCCGGAAGCGCGGTTGGCGTATCTGCTGTGCAACTGGCCAAGGCCGCAGGACACGGTCCGATATTTGTGACCGCAAGCGCGAAGCATCATCCCACCCTGAAGGCTCTGGGGGCGGATAGCTGCTTTGATTATCACGACGAAGATGTCGTAGAACAAGTGAGGGAGGCAGTTCGGAAGAGTAGTAAGAGGTTGAGTCACGCGTTTGACACTGTCGGCGCAGGGGTGTTCGGCCCGGATGAGGCACTCGAAAAGAGTAGCCCGGCGCTTGTTATAAGGTGCGCTCAAGGAAGCGTGAATGACGAAGGGCCAGAGGGGAAGTTTGTGTGTGTATTGCCCGTTCGTGGGGATAAAAGATGGAAAATTTGTGCGGCATTGAGGTCTAAGGACTTCACCATGTTTGGAGCCATGGAGTCAGAGGATTGGCCAGTCAGGATTAAAAAAGCAATGAACTGGGTGTGTGACAACTACGGAGCTGGAAAGTTTCAGGTTCCAAATGTGCGGGTTGTTCAAGGGATATCACAGGCTATAGAGGGAATGAAATGGAGTGCTGAGGGACGAAGCAGCTTGGAGAAGATCGTTGTCAAGCACCCTATATCAGGAATTTGAAAGAGAGCAGTTAGTTACTCTAGGGATATGGGCCGTTCAAGGGAGAGAAGATTATGCAACAGAAATAGGAACATGCCCTTCAGCAGAATCACCGCAACATCAGCGCATTTGGCGTCAAATCTGTACGGTAAAGCTCTCACCGTGTTAGCTCAACCTATGCCTGTGCCTGTTACCTTCAGCCGTCGTTGCATCTACGCTTCAGAAGCTACTTGTGGCTTTGTTTCGCTGAAATTTAGACTGCCGACAGGGTGGTTGCTCTTGTCTAGACAGTCATGATCTCAAAGCCGCCGTATTCCGGCATTGTGCTCCATTACCCTCCGTCCAATTCCAAAATGCAAAAGCGCGGAACTGAGCGAGCCACAGGCAGACATGAGCGGGGAGATGCGCCGATCAAGGGGAGCTACCGAAGAATAGCGTAACAACGGGGAAAGCTAAACGGAACAGGACCGGGAGCGGGGAGAGATGCCGAAGGTGGAACCGGTGACGCGGAGAAGCGCCAAGGCACAAGGTGCTTGTGATTGTTCCAGATTATAGGACACTTATTAGTGTTTGTCAAGAACTTACAAGCATAAGTAGATTGATTGGTAACACCTTCATCTCCTTTGTCGTATATTCGCAAACGCGTTTTGTTTCAGAGTCCATAACTGAGCCTCAATCCCAACATTCAACCCAGCAACGAAATTTGTTTCTCTGATACCAATTAGAGATGGCCACGACTTTGGTTTACGGCCTTGGAGCCTTCGGCCTCCTATGCTTGTACTTTGTGCAGTCAATCGTGTACAATCTTTTCTTCCACCCATTCCGAAAGTTCCCTGGCCCTCGCCTAGCGCGAATCTCTAGGATCTGCACTCGTCATGCAAACTTTCAAGGCCTCAGGTACATGAAAATCCACCAAGCCCACGAAAAGTACGGTAAGTTATGCATAAGTCAGGCCATGTTGACCGCACAGACAAGGTGGAACTGATTGAGGAGATAGGCTCTGTGGTCAGAATCGGTCCAAATGAGCTATCCTTTGCCAACCCATCAGCAATCCGAGACATTTATATGACGAGCAATTTTCAAAAAGAAGAAGCTTTCTACGTGCGTCTTTCTTCCTGAAACACTTGCATGCACCGTCGCTGATTATTCACTTTAATTTTTATAGTTCTCTAAGAGAGGGTATGAAGAAGAGCACCTCTTCAGCTTCCGGTATGCCCCACCAATGACCTTTTGTCAGTAAGAAGCGTTCATGTTAACGTACCTTATAAGAAACCCGGAAGCGCACAATCAGCGACGGAAGCTCTTATTGCGCGGGTACTCCATGCAGAGTGCGCTGGGTGTTGAGCAGGAAATTGCCACTAAGGTACAAACGTTGCTCGACACATTTGCTAAAGAAGCGACCAATACGAAGGCAGTCGACATATACTCCTGGGTGCATCTGTTGTCGTTTGATATAGTTTGTACGAAGAACATGCACTGATCCAGTCACTGAGAGAACCATGAGGCTAATAAGACTTAGATCGTCTCCTGTTTGGAGAAGATCCCAAGTCCTTAGAATCAGGAGGAGAGCATAGAGTGCTGTCCTACTTTCGGGCGTGGAGACCCATCTTCATCTACGTAAGTACTACGACATGACAAGAAGGAGATGCCGGTTTTGACCTTCCCTCCTTTGCAAGCTGGTAAATGTTGTGCACAGAGGGTACTAATATCAACTTTGCAGAAAGAGTTTTGGCCACAACTAGAGAAGTTTGGCATATACCTGCCAGGAGGTCTCGGGAATAACTTCCGTAAAGTCAAGGCATGGAAGGAGGTAAACTTAAGATTGAGACTGAATTTGCGATGAAACCTTTCTCACAATATGGACAGTACTCAGTCGACCTTATCCAGAAATCCCGCCAGAATGCCGTCGTTACATCGTTTTTCCACTCCGTTCTCTATGGAGAAAAGGATGGCTACCTCGGCCGACCTCTCACCGACTCGGAGGTTGCAGAGGAATGCATGAGCGGCATGTAAGCAAGCGTCTTTGACATTGTCAGATTATCCAATTGACAAGTTTTTGAGGTTCGGAGGCACTGGAACAACAGCTAATACCTTCCTTTTCCTCCTGTGGGCTACGCTTAACCAAGAGGAAGTGGTCAGCAAACTGAAGTCTGAGTTGAAGTCTGCTTTTCCAACCCCTAAGTCTGTGCCAGACTACCAGGTAAGACATATGGAAGGCTCGAGTTTATCGGACATGAAGATTTAACAGTCCTCCAGACCTGTTCTCGATTACCCTATCTCCAAGCCGTCATAAACGAAACCTTACGCGTGTATCCAACCATCGTTGCCATGATTCCAAGAATAGCGATGCGCGACAGTGTTGTTGCTGGAGTTCCGATTCCTAAAGGAGTACGTCGTCGCTGGCTTGAACTTAAACTTTCACCACTAACAAGCCGAATTAGACAGTCGTAGGGATACAGAATTATACGGTGCACCGATGGGAATCTGCGTTTCCCAACCCGGAACACTTTAACCCGGACCGTTGGCTCGATGACAAGCATGCGGACCAAAGAAAGGAGGCATTTGTGCCATTCTCAGTTGGTGCTCGGAGATGCATTGGAATGAAGTCAGCTCTGGATTATGCTTGACTTGAGAGCGAGAGCTAACATTTGACAGTCTTGCGCAAGTGGAACTGAACAAACTTGTGGCAGCATTCTTTCGACGATTTGACGCATCGATTGATCCTAGTATGCGAGTGGAAGACATGAGAATGTTTGACAGTTTCAGTGCTGGTCCTGTTGGGCGTAAGCTGCTCCTACGGCTCAAAGAGTCATCGGACTAGCCTTGACAAAATACTGATGACGACTTATTACCACGACTTATGGAATCAAGAGATCTGTGGGAAAAAAGATGGTCTGGCTACGATGGCTCACTGGGTCCACGGAGCATCCTAACAAAACGCGGCATTGGCTTGAGGTTGGAACAAGACATTGGTGTCTGGTAGATTCTGTATATCTTTGGCCTAACAACAGAGCGATTTGAGAGTAGTGTAGTGCCTGACCATTTGCCGCAGTTCTCTCAGATGTAATCTTGAAAGTCAAAGTTCAGCGCCTGACGTGAGAACCAGTCTTCGCTTAGCGGATCAGGAGCTCGAGCCTGTCCACAGTATTCGACATTACTGGCACCAGGACCATATACGACTTGGGGGTCAGGATGTAGAGATTCCTTGGGCGTTTGGATTTGTTGGACTTCTTGGTGTGACACCTCGGTTCCTGTAAGGCGGTTTACGTTAGAAAGGAAACAACTAACTATCAAAGGAGAGACCAGGTTGACGCAACACAAGCGTAGCCAGCCAATCATACCTTGCTTCTCGCCACGGGACAGGCGCTCTTGGAGGCTTTCGAGGACCTGGATTGCCTGTGTTGCGGACTCGACTTCAGGAGTATAGTGCTTGAATATTCCCATGGCAAGAGACAGAGAATCGTCGGCTAATGTCCCCGTATCGTCTTGAGGAGAGCAGAGTTGTGAGGCTAGGACAATGGTTGCTGCGCCGAAAGTAACTATGGCAGACAAGGTTAGAAACGGTAACGCGTTGGATGATGCGGTTCAAACGCACAGTAAATGGTCCACCATGCTGAACACCTGTATACACTGTCCTTATCCTGATGTAACACTGATATCAGGTCGTGCGCTGTAGCTAGGCATACTTGACCCATTCTCCTGGCTAATTCGCCCCCAAGGCTATACCGATCTGGTATGGTAGAGTCTGGCCCTTTACTTGAGCCTGACCGGCCTAGAGGGAGAATAACTGGCCGCAGTAGGAGGAGTCGCGTATATAAGAACCTGTAGGGAATTAGTGTCCATTGTCGGAGCGTTGACTTGGAGAGGAGCTTCCGAGAATACGAACCTACAGTACAGAACCCTAGCTTGAAGCAGAGCATTGCCTGTTGGAGTCTCCGAGCTCAGTAAGACATTTTGCAGTCTGAGACTTGTCGGAAGAGTTTCAAGAAATCGATCCAGTTTCGAGTTCAGCCGCAGCATTTCGTGCAAGTCCGGCATAGACCTGTTCTCATGTTTGCCAGTGGTAGGAGCTTGTGCTTGGTCGTCTTCTGCGTAGAACGAATGCAACACCTCGTTCAAGATGTCCAAGAGTTGAATAGTATATACAAATGAGCCTATTCGACCCTGTGAGGTTACTGGCTGGGTGCCTTCTCCATCTTCTAGTAGGTACTCATCGTCCACTATGAGCGGTAATGGTACCGAAGAGCTGTTCGGGAGCATAGCTGGCCGTCCGAAGGTTGTGCATATCAATCTTTAGGTTTTCAACCCGTCTGGTAAGCATCTCTTCCCCTCAAACAACTCTCGCAGATAACGACCTTTGTCGGAAAGATAAGTTGCCTCACCTGTCTAATGTCACACACGTGTACCAAACTCGTCTCCGTATCTCTCTCTCAAGTTGATTGCTTGTTCCTGACGCGCTCCGGTCGAGATGCAGGCCGAGACTTTGAGCCACTCGCATTGCAAGCCCCACGATGTTCCAGCATCGGCTTGAGTATGTAGTGGACTGGAGGTAAACAGCGGTCAACAACAGCATCTGGACAGCCGGTAAGGACGCCACATCCAGGGCATCAATTGGAACAAGTCCTCTAGCCCGTTGATAATACTGGTCTGACAACAACGCTCGGCTGCCATGTTGCACACTTTCGGCAGTTCTGCACCCAATCGCGAGGACAAGATTCAAAATCGCCAATATGATTGGGTTATCAGTCGTTTCAGGAGTGTCTCCCAAGTTTGTCGGCTCCCAAAGCTGGTTATAAAAACGAGTGAATGTCGGTCTGTGCAAGATGGGGAAGATTGTGTGCGCGACGTCCCAGAAGCTCTTCACATAGCTATCGGAAATTCTGCGGATCGGCAAGAGTTCCAAGCCTGACAGGTGTCTTGCTTGACTGTCAAACTTCTCCACGCTGTGTATCTCATGTCTGGCCTCGTCGGCACCAAGCCTTGATTGTTCGCCGAAGACGTCGGTCTCACCTGTGGTCAGAAGTACGCGTTCGACAAATGAGATGGTCGAAGATGCGCCGTATAGTATCTCCGGGTCATAGACACATGTCGATACAGTTGCTAGGGCGTCTGAAGATTTGTCCTTGCCGGTACGCATGGCTGTAGCCGACGCCATGCGGATTGTAGATCGACTTTGAGTTGTTGATTGAACAAGCAAATTAGGTACGCCAGACCTATTTAACATATCATCTTCACGGGAAGGTGGGAGTCTTGGCCGAGAGTCTGCTGTAAGGGTTAGCAGTCTCGTTCTTCCGTTTTCCTACGACGGGGAATCGTCGGCGCCGACGCAACCTACTTCTCGGCGGGTTCGAATAACTACTGAGCTGGCTGGCGACAGGATTATCACCAAGGCGAATAGGCCCGGTGTGACCCCCCCTCTCTAGTTGTTCCAATCTGTTTTCTAATGCCTGTATATGTCTCCAGACTTGTCAACAGCGAAGGTCGCTGGGGTTCAAGGCGGAGCCCGAGGTGAAACAACGTACTTGCGTGTGTTCAATGCGCCCTCCTCATACAAGCAATCTTCTCCTGAGTCTCGCCTCTCACAAGGAGAGCAGATTGGTCGCCTGCCATCGCAGCGAGTCTTTCGCATACGGCAGCAGTTACAGGCGAGCTGGGTTTTACGGCGTTTCGCGGGCGGTTCCTCTGGAAGCATGCTGCTTGCATCGGTTGTGAAGCTGGCCAAGCCAAGGTCGAATCCGATCTCCCAGCTCATTTTGGGGGTGAACATGCGGACTTGGCAGTGACGAATGGCTCACTGTAAGCAGCTACAGAGAATTTTCTGGCCAAAAATTTCCTTACCAGGCATTGCTTTTGTATGAAGAAAGATGGGCCAGATTTCACTGCTATGAATTTGTGTCGTGGCAGGTATGCTCTTCCTGCAGGATTGGCGGGGAGGACCAGGGTTGGCGACACGCAAACGCGGGGAAGGGCTGGGTTAGTGTGGAGCTAGAAAACGGGACTTGTCAGCGGCATTTACTAGATACCGGTGGCATGGAGGCGTTCAGGGTTAGGGTTCAGTCCAGGTTCGTCACTCAATAACAGTGCCCAGTAACAGAACAGAATGCTCAGATCTCGGCAAGTAGCAAATCGCATTAAGCTGACTAATATAGTACTAATATGTTCTCACCAAAGACTTGTAGCCCTTCAACTGTGTTTCTGCCTCGACCCAGTTGCCATGGATCTGGTTCTTGGTCCGAAACGGTAGCTGTATAACAGCAACCGGCTTAGTGAAGTCCTTGGTGTCTATCACAACCAAATCACTCCGATTCACGTCAATTCTCTGCACCATTCCCATGACCCATCCATCACCCTCCGGAGCGTCCTTCGATCGCGGAATGAAGATCGGCTCTTCAGTAGTGCTGTGATAACCAGGATCAAAGAAGGTGTTCCTACCGCTCTTCTTTTCGATCATCACATAGCCGTTCAAACACAGGGGCACGATGGGCGGTAGGGCACTCGTTCTATCAGGAACAAGTACAGGAGAAAAGATGCGGTCGTAAGGGCGAGTCAGGAATCTTTCGTCCACGCGGGCTAGCTCGCTGGGGAGATCAAGGATGACTTTAGGCTCTTCGACTTGGGTCCCGCTGGGTTTGTTGAGATCGATTTCCCATCGCACGTAGTCCGCCTTTGTGTTGCTCATGTATTGCTGGCTATTCGGGGGTTCGAATACGGGGAGGATGTTATAACAGACGCGGGAGCTTTCGAAGAAAAGTATCCCATTGTCCTCTTCCCAAGCCGATGCTGTGTGCATCACGACGGCATTTTGCCAGTGATAAACACGGGACTCTCCCGTCTTCCAGCCGGATGGAAGATCATCTGGCCTTCTTGGCACAACAACAAAGGTAGCAGGGCGGTCGTAGTTATACTGCCAGTGTTGACCACCCGCCTTGATCCGTTCCAGGTCAGCCTCGAAGGGCCAAAGGACGAGAATAATAAAGTTCTTGGTAATGGCGCAGTCGTGAATAAAACCACACCAAGGTGCTTTGATCCATTGCTCATGATGTTTCTTTCCGTCTTTATCCAAGGAGTAAATAACGATATCATCAGTTGCGAGGCCTTTCGCTTCATATCCGAAACAGACAAGCTCCTCAGTAAACGGGTCAACCTTTGGGTGTGCAGTGAAGGTCTCTCCAGGACTCCGGAATGGGTCGTATTCGATGGTATCGAGGGTATCTGGGTGCACCTCGTATGGCTGGGCCACTTCCTTTAGAGCGAGAAGCTTCCCAGCCCAGAAGACGAGATTGGTATTCGCCGTTGAGGCTATTGCTGCGCGGACGCATGGGTGGTGAGAGAAGGGGCTGCGGTACAGGCCGAAGAGCCTATTGTTCTCTTTGCGCTCCAGCTTGAGGCGTTCAGTTTCGACATATTTGGTCTTCATATCGACGGATCCATTGTGAATGCGAAAAGCACAAACATTACCATCGCCTTCGATAGGTGGGTTGCCTGGTTGGAGAGGGAAGAAAGGGTCTACCATGATGCGATAGAATGTACCATCGATCTCTTTGGGTATCTCACCAAAGACGACCAGGTTGGCTACCTCGCCCTCAAAGCGGCCTGGGACGCCATTCTCCAGAGGGTTTAGGCAATGCGACCATGTCGAAGGCAAGCCAAAGAAGTTGTCTTGGCTATTGTGGGTGGGTAGTTCTTGGCTCATGTTGAAAATTCCTGAAAGTAACGAGTCTGACGAATTGAATCTTGATCGCAATCCTGCAACGGCGGTTCGTATTTCTTTGCTTATATGCGATAGAGTGCTTGAGTCAACCTGGAATAGTTCAAGGATAGATGACTCGACGTCGGGTCGGTATGGTGGTTATAAATAACTTAATGTTAGATTGATACCGTCTGCCGTTGCTTCTTGCCGAGCTCGCACCACTCAATGCCGGAGAAATAGACCACCTTTCTTGGTAGCCAGGGTCAAGGGGGAGCGGGGACATGAAACGTTGGAAAAAAGTACTCATGAGACGTCGGCAGGAGCATCGGCAAGAATGGCAAGGAGAGTGACAAGCACATCTCTGAAGCCCTTGACAGAATGTGTGATCTACGGTGTCGGGAGCTCATCCGCTGATTGTGGAAAAGAATCAGAGTCTTACACTTAAGGTCATCCTCATTGGCTGAAACACCGCCGTTTTCATCTCGGAATCCGCCGGGGTTCACCCCGCATTTCGGGACTGATGCCGGCCGGAAACTAGTGCGGGATCTCAACCCGCTATTCTTACACGTCTTCCTATTCGTAGAGTCCAAATATGGATGGTGGTTCGGCGGGGCTTAGTAGCAAGGAGTGCACATACCATTCGTCCATACGTTATGGATGAAACGGACACTTAACATCCCACACTGGTTTGCGATCACCCGATTCGTCCCCAAGTTTCCCCGCGTCGTCGGCATGCCGACCAACATGAGGTGGAGACAGAACAGCCGGTAGCCCTACCATGCGGGATGGAAATGCGAGACTCTCGGTCAGGCTCCTTTGTAGGCTTGTACAGGTTTTGTTCCATAGTCAAGCACTACCACGCTCGGCACTGGTGGTCATGGACTAGTACCATTTCAACTCGCTAATGTTGTGACTTTTCTTTCATTCAGGCGTTAGACGTTTGCATGGAACTGCCTTCCTCAACCATATAAAATCCCTGTCTTCGTTGGCTTCTCGGAAGAGTTTCTTGCCATCCCAGTCTACACCTATCATCTCGCTGTTTCATCTCAAGCACACGAAGCCGCTATTATATCCCTCTTGTCCTTGCTGATTCCTCCACTACTTTATTATTACCATTTAATACAGACATCCTGCAATCATGTCTAACGCTGCCGTTCTGGCTGATGTTGAGAGGATCTGGAAGGAGCAGTTAACCGACCAGCCGAAGCAGACACCCGAACAAATTAAGGCAGCCAAGGCTGTTCTTGAGCTATTCGAGGCGACCTTCACTTATAACGACTACAACGTTACCCGTCGCCTTGTCTCAAAGGACTATAAACAGCATAATCAAACCGTCGGAACCGGCCAGGAGTCCATCCTCGAGTTTGCAAGGCGGGAGTGCGCGGATCCGGCTACGCGGCCACTTTTCACCTATAAGCGTATCTTAGTGGATGGCCAGTACGTTATTGTTCACCTCTACGTCAACCAGCGCAATGGAGGCGAGGATCTTAAGGTTATTGAGATCTTCCGCTATGAAGATGGCGTATTTACTGAGCATTGGGATGTCATGGCCCCAATCCCCCCTGAGTCTGAAACTTCCAACAGCGCCTTCTGAGCCATTGGGGGATGTGGGTTGGATACACATCTGTTATGGAGGGCGGAAGAGTTCGCTTCACAGTGGCCGAGTGAGGTTGTGTCGATAGAAGTGCATTAAGAATATGAATATCAAAGGAACAGTGTCATCTTCAGGGTGACCTCATTGCGGCCAATATATCCCTCTCTATATTCCCCTCTTTCAACCCAGCAATAAGTTTAGTCCAAAAGACTAGCGCTAGAACTCTCATTGAGCTCGAAAATCAACTAATTCTATGACTTCGAATCCCTATTATGTGACAATAAAGTGCTATCATAACCGACGACGTTCAGTGCACTACTTCAGATGACAGTTCATTGTGGAACCGAGCGGGAGGCCAGAGAGGATACACCATGCCCAGCTCCCGTGTTCATTCAATCAGTCATGAATCTTGGAATCTTCCAGCTCATAGATTTTATCGCCGCGTCAAAACTCTCCCAATGATTGTTTTCGGTGTTCCCATTGCGAGTCTACAGCCGCTCGAGTTCAGACTACTGGAACTCCTGGTGCGCACACGGCGTAGGGGGACTGGAAAGCCAAGAGAGGAATGGCAAACGGGACCCAATAGAGCCACGGGTCCGTACACTCACGGGTCCTCTATTAGTCAGCATAACCCTAACCCTCTGCCTTGCTGCCTTTTCCGTCTCCCTTCTGCTTCACCGCCTGATACTTCATCATATCTATCCTTACTTACTACTATTAACAAAATGAACTCTCTTCCTCCTCAACAGTGGTATTCATCACAAGAAGATCTTATTCTAGATCTCAATATCTGGGCAGCAATCGGAGGCTATAAATTTATAACCAGAAGATCAACTACAGAAAGGTCTGGTCGACTTACGGTTACCTACGCATGCAATCGATTTCGCACTGGCTGCCAATTTTCAATAGTAGCCAAGGAAGAATGGAGTGGAAATTGGCTTCTTAAACATCGAACCGAAGCTCGATTTTGTCAACACAATCATGAGCCCCAAGGCAAACCACAAGACAAGCGACAAGACGAACCACAAGACGAACCACAAGACGAGCCTCAAGCCAGGCCGCAAAACAAGCGACAAGACAAGGGGCAAGATGAGCCACAAGATGAGCCGCAAGATAAGCCAGCAAAAAGACTACCTACATGTAGCAAATGTCATATAGTAGGCCATAGAAGAGGTGCAAAATCTTGCCCATTAAAATACAGAAGCAGCCCTTGATAGTTGTGATGGAGTGGTTATAGGCGGTCAGCGGTGAGGCGAGAATATTACAGTGGGTGTTGCTGACTAAGCGTAGGGACCCGTGGCTGTACGGACCCGTGGCTCTATTGGGTCCCATGGCAAACATGTCGATGACTAAGTCTACCTAGCCTAGTTTCCCAAACGCTCGAAACATTTGACAAATAGCCTCCGATATTTGAATATGAGCGCCACTCCCAGTGAACTTCGTGCTTAACAAATCAACAATGGCCTGGATGAAACAATGAGTGGTGTCTGGATCGGCACACAAGGGAACCACATCGCTTTCGGGGACGATTCCACTCAACTGATGTGCCATACTAATAGAAATAACAGGAACAGAACCGCCAAGGTTGATCCATTTTTGTGTTGCTAAGGACTCACACCCATCCACATGCACGCCACGAGAGAGGTGTCCCAGATCAGGGCTTCCATGTAGCGTTTGGCTATGCGGCATGGTGTCAGCATGGCTGGGATTCACTGCCTGAAGAGTGACCTCTTGGCAGAAGCCCCGATATGTCCAGAGACAAAGCGCAGCTTGATACACCGCGACAGCTAGGAAATCCTCTAGCTCAGAGTCCTCGACCAGTCTGATGAAGCGTATGACCTGACCAGCGTGCCAAACGGCTTTTCTCCCAGCTCGGCTCCCTGTCCACTCCTGTAGAGCGCTGGAAGAGTCGGAAGAGGCGTCCTTATCGTTATTGTGCAAGAGCATTTCCATCTTATCAAGCGGTGTGATGGATCTCATGGACGTAAGCTCGAGCAAAACTGCCACCGGGGCCGACTGCTTCAGGGCACCGATGTCCCACATGGATCGTGTCCCATATATCAGTCTTAGAATGTGCCGTTCTTGATTTGATGGCGTTTCTGAGCCAATCGCCAACATGATTTCCGCAGACATCGCACCTTCCAAAGCGCGACGGTGACTGTAAGCGTCATGTATCATGTTCATAGTGCTATAAAGGACGGCGTTGAATGCGAGTTCGCGGTCTAGGGATGACGGGAATTCCTGAAAGATCGATGGCCGTTGGAGGCAGTCAAGGAGGGTGATGATGTTTTTGGCACTGCTAGCTCCAACGTTTCCCACCCGTAAGAGGTACAAGTCTCTCCACTGGGCAGCGCTGGGTGCATGCCAGAGGTCTTTCGTCGCAGGAATCGGAGTGCAAATCTCAGTGAAAGAGAGGGCCGAGCTCGTAGACTTGAGGGAAGCTTCATGCGTGCAAAATGCAAAGAGGCGATACACGACCCTATAGCCCAGCAATTAGTCCTCGTGTATTAAGTAGAATGCCCGATCCAAATTGGGTGTTGCGTCGTTGGTGTACGTACCTCTTGAACGATTCTTCCTCAACCCATTTTCTCCATTTCATTTCCAGGGCGTTGGGGGTGTCCTCGAACGAAGGAGCCTCCACCTCCTCGTAAGCCGCTTTTTTGAAGCGGTAGCCCTGCCGTACCATCTTCAAGCCAATCTCATTAGCACATATGAACTACGTTTGGTGGGTCGGGGTCCTCGTTTGCGGTCCCTCTTACATACATTTACAATCAGACCAACAAACGAGCTGGCCATGTCACGGCGCCGCGCATCGCCGCTCGACAGGCCGACACTGACTTGCAGGACAAAGGCCTGCATGTTCGCCAGCTGAAGAATCCGATTCATAGTCCGATTGCACTGCGAGCGTAGCCATTAGCCGATGTGGTACAACTTCGGAACGACGATGTCTCGTCATCGAATCCGTCAGTGTGCAACTCACCTCTCGAGCGATCTGAAGGCGTACTACTTCCATCAAGGCCAGGCCAAATTTGCGAGCTCTCGGATTTTTTGACCGTGCTGCGCCTGCAGCAATACACCCTGTCACAAGAACAAGGTCATTGAATGACGGACGGAAGGTTGGGATGTGAATGAAGGGAATTGATTCCGCCCTGTGTAGGGTTAGGAAGAACCTGAGCAGTTTGTCCAAGACGTCCAGGGCAGGAAAAGTCCTCCGGGAAGAAAGATTAGCGCCGGACCGTTCCTGGGAAATATTTTGAGTCATAAGTAGGATTTGATCGCGGGTGTCTTCGGTGAGACGCTCCCATAGGATGGTATTGTCGTAGACACCGAGAATATCATCAGCGCGCAGTTTTTCGTGTGGACGTACGAATAAGCTCAGCTCGTCGGCGAGAAGGTAATCCGTATCGTCGGGCCTCCAGGATCCAAGCGACAGATTGAAGGTGCGTTTTACCTCCGCCGTCACCTCGGAGACATTGATGAAGACACTCTTGGGAAGGACTTCAGGTACCGGGCCGGAACCGCGGGCTTCTGTTCCTAATTCTTGGAAGTTCAGGTCGAGCAGGGTCTCGGAACTCAAGGGCTCAGTTTGAGGAGGAGGGATGGAGTTCCATATGTTAAATAGATCGTTGGCATGTAACCATGGTGCCGAACTCGAAGAGGTCGGGGCCAGAGGGCGAAAGCAGTCGGATACGTCAGAATGGACGGTTCCTTGCGCCCAGTCCGGCAATAAACATGATTTACATGTCGGTGTGAAGTTCAATGAGCCCTGCTCGTTTACATGCTGCGGGAGAGCCTTTGTCCCCGTTCCAGGAGGCGGTGTCTTGCGCGCACTCCGAGATTGGGGCGGCTGCGACGATACCTCAACAATGAGAGAGTCCGCCTCTAGCGACGGCAGACGGCTAGGGGGAGAGCGAACGCATTTGATCTGCCTCTGTTCGCATCGTCGACATGTTTTGAGATTGTCGCACTTGACCTTGGACACTGCGCAGCCTTGGCATGCTTGGGATGCCCGAGCTGATGTGGATAGATAACGTCGTCGCTTGGAGGGCGGAACATGGCGACTTCCCACGTGACTAAGATCCATTTACGTCCCGTCCTGTATGAGAGTGAAACCTGTATCCTGAAGCGGCTGGTGCCAAAGCTGATAAAGAAAGCGGCGTTCACACGCAAAGGCGACAAATGCATGCGTGCTAAGCTTGGCGGAGTTTGAGGTTTGGCATGCCGTACTGTAAGAAAGCTAAATCTTTCTTAGTAAAAATAGTTTCAGTGCCGCCGAAGTCAAAGTCGACGTGGCAGTTTGTATTTATAATGTGGAAGATCGCTGCTGGTAATTCTCGTGGAATGGAACGGATATTGTTTCTCCCGGGAGCACAGACCCTTTCGGGGATATTGCCCAATTAAAATGCAAGGCTAAAAGGTACATCATTCTCCGCCTAGTTATCCCATGCCACTTGTCCCAGCAATTTTCAAGTTACATGGGCTTGCATGTTATTATGTTGATAAAGTGGAGTCCCGTCGAAGTTGGTCCTTGGCCTGCCAAAGTCAAAGAAATTGTACTTGGAGGAGAATATTGCAGCCCAGATCGTCGAGATCTCAGAGTCGCACGATAATCGGAAACGTGAAAAGATTGGTTCGCCTCAGGCTAACAGCCCTGGAGCAGGAAGTGCGAACTTCAGGGCCAACGGAGATGACACCACTACCCGCAGAGTCGATGAATAGCAGATTTCCACAGATAGCCAGAGCCTTCTAGTATTATAAAAAGAAGCGTCCGATTCTATGGAGGCCTGTCCGTTTCTCACAGTCGGCCATTTGTTTACTTACCACAGTTCAACTTGGCTGTGTGTAGGTATTGCAAGCATGCTGTTTTGGCCAAAGAGGTAAAAAGCCATTTGCTTTCCAATCACCGCCACCGCTAGAATTTCACAGGAGAGCAACGACTTTCTATTGACTTTCGGATTTTTAAACTCCCGAACATTCTGAAGGACCAGGACGATCTGAAAACCTTTCGACCACTAGCACCGATGCCACGGTTATTCTATTCATCGAGCCGCGAAAGAAAGATGGGTTTGCATGCCAGCAGTGCCTATATGTGACTCAGCAATTGCGCAACATACAGAAGCATTTGTCGGGAAGAGCACCGACAGGTAGAAGTAGTTTTCCTAAACTCTTAGTGTCCCCATGATTGTCCTATACGCTTGTCTTGCCACTCTCCAGCCCGTCAATGAGCTTAGGAAGAAGTACGTTATTATACAACCACAGATGAGTCTGGAGCCGGACACTCCAAGCACCACCAGTCCACCATGTCGATCGCAGACTCTGCAAGGCATATAGATCCTGGATGAAACCAGCCCTAAGCTCGTCGGCAGAGGCCCACGGGTAGATAGGGCCATGAACCGCAAAGTCGACAAACTCCAGCTTAGTAGACTTTGGGTTCTCAAGAGTACCGGCCTTGATAATCCGATCAAAATCATCCTGCACCAGCTTCTTGGCACGACGCGCGCTGAGAGTCTCGTTGCCAACGACTATGTGGCGGAAGATATCCGTTGTTTCAGTGCCAGCCCAGTTAAAATAGGTTGTAAAGGACGGCTGAGGAAAGGCCAAATAGTTGTTGGGCGCAGCGGTTGCGGGTAGGTTAACCAGTGACTCGCCCTTAGGCAGGGCGGAGTTGGCAACAATACCAACATAGAGATTCACGTAGCTATATTTATTGAAGACTTCGACTTCTCTGTGATCAAGATCGAAGGGGGCCAGATTCGAAGGCGTAGGCTCAATGGCGAGAAGTAGTCGCTTGGCCTTAATTAGAGTGCGCTTACCACTGGCATTTTCGACAGTGATAGTAACACCCTCAGTGGAACGCTTAGACTTAGTGACCCTGGACGAGTATAGAACATCATCAGCCAGCAAGTCGGCAATGGCATCATAAAGTTCTTGGTTACGGCCTGACGCGGGAACCAATGTCTTGAGCTCACCAAGGTACGACCGGGCCATATCGCCGCCAAAGGCCTGCATAACCCAAATAGTAAGCGCTTTTGAGGTATCTCCAAGACCAGTAACTGTGAATATGGATGGAACAACAGCCTCAATCTCATACTTCTTGGCGAAGTCGCCGAAAGGAAGCAGAAGATCCTCCGGAATATCGTTGGGAGCCGGGAAATTCCAGTAGCCAGGCACAAGCAGGTCCTCGTATTGAGCGCAGATCTTGGCGTACTTTTCCAGAGCAGCCGTAATGTCCTCGCTGGCTGGGTCGGTGTAATTAACTCTGTTGCCGGTTGTGAAGTCGACGTAGCGGTTCGTGACAGGAGTGCGACTGGGTTCCTTGGTCTGAACGCCAAGACGAGCGAAAAAATCTGCCGCGCCCTCGATATCCAAAAATACTTGAACGCCGAAATCGTAATAATTTCCAGACGGGGCTGAGTATGTGTTGACGTGGCCTCCCTAGATGAATGGTGGTCAGTGCAAATGCTTCCCTCGAGATGCCTCAGTGGACTCACCAGAGTAGCTTCCTTCTCAATCACGACGATTGTCTTCCCGAAATCTTCGCGCAGGCGAACTGCTGCGTGAGAGCCAGAAGCGCCTCCGCCAATGATGATGACATCCTTTTCCAAGGTGACCTGGTCGTGATTGGCGGCAGTGGCAACAACTGTGGATGCCATGGCCAATGCACTGCCCATCAAAGATTTGACGAGCAACATGATGATCGATGGTGTAGAACGACGTGACTCGGGTCTTGGATGAGTTGAAGTTGAGAGGATGGCAAGCCGTTGGAGCAATGGAAGATGGAAGGTGGCAGAAGCAGCTTTGGCATATTAAATATACAGTCTGATTAAAAGTGCCTCCCTTTTGAGTAAAAAGTGCCCCCTTAGTGGCTGGTGTGATGTAGGGAACGCGACCTAGCTGTATGTCCAACCCCTTATTCCAGCTCCCGCTTATGAACGCACCACCCCGGTCACGACCAACTCAGCAGATTGAGGCTTCTCGGTATAGTCACAAAGCGAGCTGGTTAGGTGATGAAGCCCATCAATTGAGCGGGATCGGTGGCTCCAAGAGACAACGTCGTGGCCGAAAGATCCCGACGGATGTCCCGGCGGAGTTCTCAACAGCAGGAGCCTGCTGGAAACACTGTGAAGCATGTTACAAATCCATAGCAGCTTTCAAGCACTGTTCCCAGGTATTGTTCGGTGGGATGTGGGATAAAGGGAAGGGGCTTGTATAAAATACTTCGAACACCCGTTAAGTTGCCAAGGCAAGGGACTTAATGGCTGAATATCCAGCCCGAAGGGTAAATACCGTATACCTGCTATTAAACTCTCCTGGGGGAACCCCCTAGAAGCCCCCTTTCGACTGCAGCGGTAACCAGCTGTTAAACCACTTCAAACCTGTAGTCAGGGAGTTGACTGATAGACATAGGGGTCCCTCTACCACTTCCTGACAGGCCCAATCAACTATGTACTGTATATCGAATTTCCCCTTTCCCTGTAGCTTATAGGAAAACGCCATTTAGTCAATGTAGCGTGGTGGATACGGCGGATCAGTCAGCTGTTGAGTCTGACGGCGTTGTTGGTCAGCAAGGCGCATCTTCATCCCTGCCTTATAGTTAGCCACAAACGCAGTACGTAGGAAACGCAGGCGTATAAACCTTCCGTGGGCGTGTGGTTATAGAGGCTCTGACGGTCGAAAGGCGCCTCAAGGAGTAGGCCTTGCAGCGAGGTAACTCGTGAGACGGCAACATAACTAATACCGGCCTGGAAGTCGCGTGTAGCGAGGTCAGTAACTATCTGATCCTTCGTTAGGCTCTGGAATTTGTGAACAGTAATAGCAAATGCCACGATCAGGGGAAACTGCGTGCGAGCGCAGGTCTCGTTGCCCACTAGGAAATCACGCGTGACTGGAAGGATGGGTACGATTTTCCTGCCCTCGTTAGTTGTTAGATACGGCGGTCCATCGTAGCTATCGAAATCCACCATAATAACGGCTGGGGGGTCTTCCCGTGGTTTGGCGCCTGCATTCCAGGCGATATCGTATACAGTACCCTGGGCGCCGTTAACTAGGCCAACTGGCTGCCATAGATTAGTCGTGAGCATTACCCTGGCGCCCTTAGCAGCAGGGAACTTGTTGGATAGATTGCCAGCGTTGTCGCTTGGCGCCTGCCCCGCGCCGTTGCCCTGATTCTTTGCCTCCACCTGTATTGCCGGGGCGTTGAGGTGTACCATATGCTCGTAATTGTATTCGTTGACGCGGGCTTTTGTAGAATACACCCGCAAAGCGGCCCTGAATCTGTCAACCTCGCTCTGTGTTAGCTTGGCCTGTACCCGATTGCTAAGGAGGTTCCAGGACGGTATAGATAACTTAACTTCACGCAGTTCTTGCAAGGCCTGACGGAACCGGGCCTGATCGTCCCCAGCCTGGCGCTGTACCGTCGTCAGGAAGACGGTGCGGTCAAATAGCCGGTAGGCCACTTGCCCTCTCCTTTCCAACGAAGACAGTCTGGTGCTAATCGAATACAGGGGCTTTTGCCGGACCGGTGGTAACTGGAAGAAATCGCCCACAAGCAAGACGCTCACACCACCAAAGAACTCGAGGCTACGTTGTGGAAAGGCTTGCCGCAGGCGGGAATCGATCCGCGCCAGCTGCTCAAGCCCTAGCATGCTCTTTTCATCGATAACGAGGTATTTGACGTGCCGTAGGCGGGACTGAAGGGCGGCTGCATCGGCTGGGGGAAGGTCGGTAAAAGCACCACCTACAGGGAGACGTAGCAACGAATGTATCGTGCTGCCCTGTATCTGGTTACTCGCAACGCCTGTCGGCGCTACGCGGCAAATAGGGCTAGGATTCGGTAGGGCAGCCGCCTGAAGATGGGAGGAAAGCACCTTGATAAGGAAGGACTTGCCTGTACCACCACCACCGTCAACATGGAGAAGGATTTGAGTAGGATTTTGCGCCTGGAAGTGGCCCATGAAAGTGTCGTACACGAGCCGTTGTTGTGCGTTAAGCTGGTCACGCCAGTGAGGGCCAAGAACCTCCACATTGTTGGCGATAGGGTGGCTAGCGATAAGGTCTTTCCAGTAGCTGTCTCGAAATTCCGGATAAGTGCCCACATGCCGTGTCCAGTCGTAATTGACGTCGATGTCGCGGCGGCCAAGTAGGTCAAGATCTTCCTGGGTAAGGGGGTTGTCAGGTAAAAGGGCGGCGAGGCGGATCCAGTCTTCGTCATCAAATTCTTCCTCCACAGGCAGAGTCTCGTACTGATCCTCTTGAGGTTGTAATCGAGCCTCTTTTGGCCGGCCGTAATGGTCATCACCATGACTGTGATGCTGCCAACAATAGGAGAAGGCCTTAGCGTGAGAATTAAAACGCTGGCCGCCAAATGTGAGGAGCTCATCAAGGCGGCGATGTGGGTGGTTTAACGTTAGCTTTACGCGGCAGTAATCTGGCCACTGTTGGCCTTCTGGATCAGCCTGGTAGCGAGGAAAGTAGACCAATACACGAGGCCTGCCGTTAACGTTGCCTGGCTGCCATTGCTTCCACATGGAAGGGTTCCTAGAGCGGAAATTCCAGTATTTGAGAAAGGAAACATAGGTCAGGTCCTCTAGGGCTTCTGAGCGTTGACAGTACTTTTCGTAGACGTTGGGGGCCTCGTCAACCTCATCGCCGTCAATCCGTAGGGAGCGGGAATGCCTGTCAGGATTACGGCAATCAACGTATAGGCAGGTTCGTGAGCCCTCTTGTAACGGCAGACCGAGGAGCAAGTGGCTAACCTCCTGCTTCGAGTAGTCTCGCTCAGCAACTAGCTGATTTAGGAGCTTTGACGTGAAGGAAATCAGGGGGTTGTGGTCCTTGACCCGGGGCACCAGGGCCTTCCCAATCTGAGCAAACGACTCGCTCTTCTTTTCCGACTTGGAGCAGTATTTGGCTGCGTAATCGATTACCTGCTGTAGGCTCGTGCAGGGCGAGACATCTGTATTGGCTAGCCATGCAACGGTAAGCAAGCGGTTGTAGTGGTTAATCTGGCTATCGTTCCGCTCGCCCCTGAAGCTCCAGTGCTTAGAATGAGGAACCTTGTCAAGGGAGGCTAGGAGGCGCTGCCCGTGAGGAAATCCAAAGCGGCACTCTACCTGCTTGGTATGCTTATTGAGCTGCATACAGTAGTTGTTGCATCGGTGGCGTTGCACGCGGTTGACTACCATTGATAGGAACTGAACGGTAAGGGGATGCTCCAATAGATTACTGATCAGGGGATTCCCTTCCCCAGGCACCTGTATCCGCTAAGACTCTGGGTTAACAGCAGATACGTAATATCCCCAGATTTGAGCGAATTGCTCTCGGGACTGACCATTATCAGGATCTAAGTCTGGGTGGCCATTTAACCAATATAGGCCATGGTGGTGACTGGAACCCCTGCCCTGCCACTCGTAGCGACCCCAAAAGTCCGTCAGGTTAAACTTCTGCTTCAGGACAATAGTCCTAAAGAGCATATAACGCTTATGGAAGTGATAAGCGGCAATGTGGGCGTTGTCTCTCAGTAATTGCCGGGACAGGGCCATCCGCACCGCCTCAGGAGCTGCTTTCCATTCTTGGAATCGAGGCATATGACGATATAGGGACTCCCAGTGGTAATCAGCCGCACTTGCAGTAACGAAAAGGCCCGGCCTGCCTAGATTGTAGGCATATGCCTCCAATTCCTTCCTTTGCTCATACCAATATGGACGGGTGCCCCTGATTACGGCGGCTTGGCGCGTGATCGACTGGATCAGGGCCTGAGCCTCTGGCTCGTCAGGCTTAGCCATCGCTTCCTCTATGTCAGCGCGCGTAAGAGGTTGACGGCGGCCTTCGTGTTGCTTGACTAAGTAGTTGCTTCGCTTTCTGACCTGCGCACGTAACAGCGTGTTGAGGGCGACGAAAGGCCACGTCTTATGGCGGGCAAAACGTCCGTCTTGCCATCTCATCGCATGGGCAAGGTAGTCCTGGTACGTGATGCTCCGTAGGCGAGGCTCCACGAAGTCCGCCTTGCCGTCAGGGTAGAGGGTAGGGAATGCGAGCGTTAAGAGCGGCTGGGAACGGTTGAATTCGTTGATAGGAGTCCTGCGAATGGAAGGTAGTGGCATCTGGTGTTGAGCCTGCGCGCTAGGCGGCATATGCTCAAGATCAGCCATACGCTCAGGGTCAGGGGTACCATGAAGGAACCGGGACTGCAGGGCGTTTAATTCGGTATCGGTAACCTGCAAATTCGGGATCGCTGATGCGTCGGCATCGCTAGGATCCTCTTCTACAGTCTCCTCAACCGGGCCTTGGGGGATCTCGCCGTCAGGTATGTCAGCCACTTGGCTAGCAATGGAAGCAACTATGCTGCCGTCAAGAGGAAGCCGTTGCAAGCGATCCTGCCTCACGACGATATCGCGATAGCCCGGGTGGTGGCGCTGTAGGTAATGCAGCCAGGTCAACAGGCACGAGCGGCGTACCCGGAAATCGCGAGCAAACTGCTGCTGGAAGTGAGGGTCGCCCTCCATATTAGGAGGCCGCAGGAGTACGATATCTAGCTCTTCAGGTAGGACTGGGAGCTCTTCAAATAGCCTACCAACATTGCGAAGGAAGTGGACAACGTGACCGCGGTATTTGTATTGAGCACCACGTACCTGTAGGACCTTCACGTGTACGTGAACCCTAGCAATCAGCATCTCCTCAACCATTGTTAGGCCAGGTAGATTACCGGGGACTTCCCCGAAGTCAAGGTTATTCGCAGCGCTAAAGAAGTAGGGCTCGGTAGGGGTTCTCTCCCTGTCTCGACTAATGCAGCGGCTGCAGATTTTCAAGCTATTTCTCTTCATTTCGAACCAATGCTCCCGGCAGCGAATGCAGCGATGCATCTTCTCGTCATCCAGGGCGGTATAGAACTCCCGCACAAGGGCCTGATCCTCCTCACTAAGGGCAGGCAGGTTAAGGTCCCCCGTAAAAGGTGGATCAGCTATCTGATCAAACTGTCGCTCTTCAGGCTGTGGCCTTTGACGTGTATAGCGGCCGCGACGATGTCCCTGTGGCAATAATGAAGGAGTGGTAGGGAACGATTCCTGTGGTATAGGCGTGCCTAGCACAACAGGAGCCGTTGGAAGAGTGCATTGAGGAATTGGCGTTTGAGGAATCGGCGTGCCCAGAACTACTGTTGGCAGGCAAAGGTTAGGAGGGATAGGGGAAGGTCCCTCTACCGCGCTTGGGGTAGATGGCCCCAGCAGAGGTCTAGGCAGTCCCTGGAGTGCGGGCGCCAGGCCACGGAATAAGGCAGGTGTGGCAGGAGGTTGTAAGCCGTACACAGACGCAGGGTTGGCGCAGTCCGCCTTGGAGGCGTCAGGTTAGCTAGAGAATCGGTCCTTTTCGTGGCTCTGTGTGGCGATTGCCTCAAGGCGATGTTCCGCATGGCGGCGACGGCGGCTCGGGATTCGGCTACACGTTCCCTTCGGCGTGCCCTACAGCTAGCACAGTCTCTTGTAAACTTCGTAGGGTCCTTGACGCTTCTAAATTCGACTTCGGACAGGTCATGTTTGCAGGTGTGGCAGTTTCGAACTGCCTCGGGTATATGGTCCTCCATCTGGCCGTATATGTATCCACCTCTTACCAACCTAGACTGCTGGATAAGGCTCGGGCAGGGAGGTTTTGCGACGGCTTACGTCCAATACCGTGATAGACCTCGATGGGGAAGCTGTCTTTGAGGGAGGTAGATCAGGTCTGAATGATCAGGGAGGAAACTGCACTGCTTCCCGCAGGCAGGTAACCGGGGAATCTTGAGAGGTGGGCTGGCTGCGGAGGTAATATGTGAACCTAGATACCGTTAGCAACCTGATGGGGTTTGATAGATTCGACAGAAAAGGGAAAGCATCCGCCACGTAGGTTAGTGTACGGAGTAAAGGGCACGGGGGTTATTCAGTCAGGATCGTGCTTAGCAACCCAACAAATTGATTGCAGAGAAGTAAAGAAGAACTGAAAGCTCTTGGAGAGTTTGCCAAGCTCGCTAGTTTCCTAGTCAACGCCCAGGGGTTTGTTTGTAGCGAGGCCTTCATTTCGTAGCGTTAACAGCCGACCAATTCGCGCACGAGTTGAGCACAGGCCAGGCTAATTGGCCAATCGGAAGAGGTTTTATGCTCTTCTTTCTGACTGAGTAAAACGCCCTTCGGGCTGAAAAAACGCCCTTCGGGCTGAATAAAACGCCCTTCGGGCTGAATTAGTCCAGACTGCAGATCAGGGCAGGGAATACGGACGCCCGGCGTGGACGCTAAGTACGCTAGGTTGTTGGCATGGTGTTACAAAACCAGGATACCCATGATTGTTGCTGTGCCAACCATTTTGGTTTGGATATCTCTGATCAATTTACTGGTGCGATCCAGATCAACACGGCTCGTTTCAAGGGACGCATCATCCTAGTCGTCAATCCACGAACGCCCGTCGTGGATTGATTATTGATCTTGGATTGCAGTCTGGACTAATAGTCCAAATGGTCTGGACTATTGCGAGCGCTGAATTCTAAGAGGCCTTGCAGATGGTCTGAGTAAAGTCCAATGCGGCAGCAATTGTAGATAGTTTAGTCCAGCATGTCCTGTGCCCCAATAGGGGACTTTTACAGGCCTCGCGGCCCCCCGGACGAAAAATATACATATATACATACATATCCATGGACAGCAGGCACCGCTTCAGCCGCCGTAGATAGGACTCTGAACACTTGGAGAATAGCCTTCAAGTTCGGTTGCTGATAATACAAACCCTACGAGACCCGCCGAAAGATTGAAAAGGAAGAAGCAAAAGTAGAAATTGGACGCTGTATGGGCTTTTACGAGATCATGACAAAGCTTGGGAAACGAAAATGTACAATAGCAACTAGTGCCCTATTGGTTATAAGCCACCGGGCGAAATAAATTGTGTGTGTGTGTGTGTGTACCCTGGACAGCCTACCCGGGGCCTCACGATCGACGATCAAATCGATCGATTGGAGGGTTGGTCGATACGATATCGATCGAGTAGGATTTCTAATCGATCGGTTGGGGGCTTGATCGATACGATATCGATCGATTAGAGATCCTCCTCGATCGATATGATATCGATTGACAGGTTGAATCGATCGATTTCCAACCCTGGGTCCTAATCGTCGACGGTTGAGACTGGCGGTGGATAACTAGCTGGTGGAGACCTTAATCGCGTCGCGCGTCAGCTACTCAGGTAAGATTAAGGAGAGCTAAGCTCATGGTACTTTGGGAGCTTTGGCAGAATTCTGCCTGCACTAACAAAAAAGTGATTGACGAATCAGATATTATAAAAACTCATGCGTCCCTATCAATTCTTCATGCGTCCTATCAATTGCCTAAATTAAATTGAAAATAATTGGGTTGAATTATTTAAGATTGAATTATTTAAAGCGCTGATCGTTAGGGTCATTTAGAAAAATTGGCCATAATAGCCAGCACTATGGGTTTAAATCGTAGTGCCAGTAACAAGTAGACACGTTATATACCCGGTATATCGCAAGCTTCTAGGCGAAAGAACTTGCACTGCTGGATTCTTCTAGACCACTTGGAGCCCACAAACTTCTCGTGCTTGTTGTACTGGTCGTGGAAGAGTTATGGACAAGGAGCGTCAGACGGGAACCTACAAACACTTGAGCCCTATCCCCTACTTCGCTTTGGATCATAGCCTACACCCGTCTCTGTTCTAGCTCTCGCAGCGGGGAAAGTTCACTAGTGATAACCTGAATCTAAGTTCAAGAGATCTTCTTGTTTGAGAAGAATCGAAATGTTGGCAAGTCAATCAACTCGCCATTCTGGCCGCTGGTGTCCTGCGCCTTCCATGTAAGAAAGAGGTCGAATCCACATTTGTGGAGCATCTTCTGGCTTCGGACATTCTCTAACTCTGTCACTGCAATGAGCTGCTCAGGCACCAAGCCGCCGCCGTCCTGCGGAAGTCCATCAACGGAGCGTGGATCCACCTTCACTTCGGCCTCCACCCGCGGCAGCTTCTGCCAGGCCGCGAGAAACGCCCGCAAAAACTCAGGCGCGAGGCCTTGCCCCCATTGCTCTTTCCGGATCATGTAGCCTACTTCGGGCCAGCCGAAGCTCGAGACGAAGTTGTGGTTGCCCCCAACGCCAATCATCTCGCCTGTCTCCTTCAGGCAGATGGCAAAGTTGTGGTTCTCGATATCGTTGGGCGGGAGGAAGGGCTCCAGCCGGGACTGGGTCTCGGCGACATCCTTATCCACTCGTCCTTGCATTGTGAAATGCATGACCTCAGGCTGACTCCGGAGGCTGTGAAAGGCGGCGATGTCGCTCTGGCCGAGTGGCCGTAGGACAAGCCGTCCCGTCTTTATCGTTTGGCGCTGAGCATTGGGGGGCAGCGGCCGAGCCGGCAGCGTCGTTTTGACGATGATGAAATCGTCGGGGCTCGGCGCCGTGGCCATGTTCATGGAGACTAGGGAATGCCGCGAGGGACAGCGCTTGTGCGTATATTGTAGGGTCGAAATTGGGTCTTCGCAAGAGTAAGTACATTCAGTAAGGCACTCAGTGGAGATGATGGACTCGAGTCGTGATGCCTCGGGTCGAAGTGAGGCCGCCGTGACTTCACTGCTTGTCGCTATGCTCTGCCTAGCTGGTCGGACACTTGTCCACATTGTTGGCACGTGAGTCCCCACTCAAGGATTGGGGAGTGGTTAACTTAGCTGGTTGGCTCGCTTGCCCGGAAGATTGTTCCTCCGCCCATTCCTGGACAGCCGTCTTCATCCAAGCACTAGCCGACGCGGGCGACGACATACATAGATGAGAGCGGTAAAAACGAATTAAGCAGCACCAGGGACGGGCCGTCCCGCTTGAAATGTGGAATTTACGACCGCATCACTCTCTTGCCTTGAGATCTTGTGTGATGTACCCGTAGGGTCTGACTAAGTGGGCAAGCCACTTAGTAGGGCAGAAAAATCTAGAACAGGCAGAAAAACCTGGAACACCCTGCCACCATAAGCCGTCGTAAATATCAGTAGTATATCCACGGCGACCTCTTGGTGGCTGATTCAGCCGCTTAGCGCCACAACGCCGCCAAATCACCTCCGTGCCCTCAGCACCTTCCCGTGTGCTGGGGACAGTTTTGATTGGTTGAGGGTAAATCAAATCTTCCTCGACAGCGTGCCATCAAGTCTTGCCCCCCCTGCTAGCAGTTACGATAACCCTGCAAAACTGTTGGAACTAGTTCGCACATGATAATCGCCACCTGCAGCCAAGCGATGAAAACGGAACCTGCCCCGCAGCAACTGTCCAGTAATGTTTGGGTCTGAGGCACCTTGCCTCATGGTGTGATGACAGTGCGGTTGTTGGTCAAGGATCAGTACGGTGAAGTCCTGGTTACCTGAGATATTCTGTTGCAGTTGGTTACGGTGGTATTGTTGTCTCGTCGGCCAACGACCATAGCACAACCCTGAGATAACCAATGATATCCTGAACCAGACTGTCGGATCCCGAGCCAGCCGCCATAAAGTGAGTGCTGCGCCCGGTCTGGCCAACACCCTTTATTTCGCCTTTTCTTACTCAATCTCCCACTCTGTTTTCATTGGTCGCATTTTGCCAGGTTTCGACTCAATGACCCCTCTATGACTATTTTAGCTGAAGGTCATCAGTGATATTATCTCATTCGGTATGACGCAGACAAGTCTTGATCTGCGTCCCGGTGCGGCGCAAACAAAGACATCAATGGAGGATCTGAACGCCCATCAAAATGCCCCAGTCTCAAACCCGAATGTCGAGACAACGCAAGTCTCGCCAAGTCCTTCGTCCGATGATTTCGATTCCGCCATTGGCGAGACCATTGTCTGCGCGCTCTTTCCTGTGAGTGAACTGTGCCAGATGTCTAGTCAACAGCGTATTGATACAGGCAACTTTACACAGAATGACCCAACAGAACAAGACGGGCATCGAAACACCACACCCGTAAGGAGATCAATATCTTTCGACGAAGTTTTCCAAAATGGCAAAGCCCCAGTCAAGCGAATCATCATCCAGTTCGACGGATCGTGGTTTATTCTATGATGCGATGAGCACGATCGTGACTTCATATATCCTCCTCTTAGAGGTGCTGGGGCGCACCTGAGGAGTGAGAAGCATGGTTGGCTACGAAGTCCATCTAATGTGGTCATCGTTAAGCACTTCGGGATTGAGGTTCTGAACTGCAACGCTGAACTAGCGGAGAAGAATAATTGTGGGTGTAGCACGAAGAGTCGCACCACGGATGGGATCCCCGGACGACAAACCTGGGGATCAGAGCATACACCAAAGGTTACCAACAAGAGATACAGCCGGACTGGAGTCGACCGACATGGTGGTTTCAAGCGGCAATCAAAGCAAAGAAAACAGGACGGAATCCCCAGCCCAATTCCAGGCCGAATATATCTGGCATACTGGGAGATGACGAGAGACTGGTTGCCAGCGCTGCTTCTACCTCACATCGGCCTAGAGCAATTCGGGATACCAAGTACACTTGGGAGCCTTGGCTTGATGGAACACATGCCGTAGTGCTACGAGTATTATACAGAAACGAAAGGTCTCAAGTGGAAGAAGGAATACGAGCGTGACGGGCCTCGTGTCCTGCAGCGAGAATTTCCCGTTGTATACTTTGATGGAAACAAGTTCCTTGATGGAAGCCCAGCAGATTGGGTGAGGGCAGAAGATTTGCAGGAACTGAATGTGTTTGATGCCTCGCCACGTCTTGTGCCGAATCTGAAGTTTGCCAGGAATTACCTCCGAAGGCGCATAGAACAGGAGGCCCAGGCCGCAAGCGAGGGCTCGGCTCCTTTGCCAGACGGTGAGTTTACGCATGAAGCCTTGACTGCGGCACATGCTAACCAAACCACCATCAAGTCGAATCAGATTCCGAGACAGCGCCATCGTCTTGCATCGCGGGGAGTGACAGTCCTATAATAGCCGCCCCAGGTGGCATGGTCTTATTGACGGAGGAGCTTGCTACTGAACCAAGCTCTCAAGGAAGGGAAGTCTCTTTGTCTCCAGACATGGAATCAGAAACATCCCGGCCAAATCTCCAGCTGGAGCAGGCCAATCGACATTGCCCCGGGAATGCCCTAGAGCCCGAATTGACCAGTGTTTCTGGTACAGAGAAAACTATCAGTTTTGGCGCTGGCTCACAAATGGGTGATCGGAGAGCAAATTGCCAAACGACGGTAGAAGGCGAAGCGGATCATGAGACAGAGTCTTCAGCCTGCACCGCACGAACGAGAAGTCTTGCCGGGTCTATTTCTATCGACTTAAACCAATTGGTGGAGGGTTCTGCAGCCGAACCATTCTTCCAGGAGAGGGAGGCCTCTTTGTCCCCAAGTTTGCAACTAGAAGTTCTGTCGCAAGAGCCCCAGCTGGATCAACGGGATCGAAGTTGTCACGAGAGTGCACCTGAGCTTGAGCTGAGGAGCGCTCCAAACACCGAGAAAGCTATCGGCACTGATGGTCGCTCGGAAATTGCCGACCCCGAAGCAGCCCATATCTCAATTTCAGAGGTCGAAATGTCTGATGAAGGCCAACCAACTACAGCAAGCGAACTGCCAAGTGTCCAACCTGCCAACGACACGATGCAGATTGACTGTGGTTATTCAACTAGGAACAGCGACAGAGGCACCGCACAAGGCAACGACCTTTCTACATCACTCATACACATCCATCAACACCAGATTCAACGCGCCTTGTCCAATCACATGGCAGCCGACCTACTCAACCTGAAAACAAAGGCAATCGATCTCAACTTTCCGAAAGGAATACAAGGCCTCGAAGCGAGACAACCTCAGCTACCCCCAGCACGACCTCCAACTGCTCAATGGCATGCTGGAAATCTTGTTCCACCTAACAACTCCACAACATTTAGTTGCCATGCCATACAAATATCGTCGCCCCAGAACCGCAACGATTCCGTAACAGGCACCGAAACTCCACAATTAGGAATATTACACACACTACAACCAAAACCTCCGATTACAGATTGGAATTCAACGGGCGGGCCACGGGTTACGATGCGTTGGGACGCCGCCTATCGAACTACATATGACTCTCGTTCCGAGGTTTCACAAAGAACGTCCCGTGCCTTGAATCCGAAACCGCTGGTCACAGCCCCGACAAGTGGATCACAATCTCGAGACCCCGGGATAACGCCAAGTAAAGTTCTAAGTACACAGCTTAGTGCTGGGGCTTTTGTTCCCATCAATACTGAAGCCAACTCCTCTACGCCTCCTATCGGCCAGCTCCAAGCGACAAAGCCTCAGGTTCCCCAAGTTCCAACTCCCGATATTCCACCTGCAAATACGAAGATTTTTAGGAGATCACACTTAGAAACACTCTACAGATCAGACTCGGCGACAGTCTACTTAATACGCAAGCCATTCTTGGTTAGATCCAGGGCTCCTAATAGTGCAGACCATTTAGACTATTAGTGCAGACTGCAGATCAGGGCAGGGAATACGGACGCCCGGTGTGGACGCTAAGTACGCTAGGTTGTTGGCATGGTGTTACAAAACCAGGGTACCCATGATTGTTGCTGTGCCAACCACTTTGTTTTGGATATTTCTGATCAATTCACTGGTGCGATCCGGATCAACAAGGCTCGTTTCAAGGGGCGCATCATCCTAGTCGTCAATCCACGAACGCCCGTCGTGGATTGATTATTGATCTTGGATTGTAGTCTGCACTAATAGTGTAAATGGTCTGCACTATTAGGAGCCCTGGTTAGATCCCCAGTCAAACCACTAGTAAAACCTCCCGTCAAACCCCCGACCAGACCTCTATTTCCATGCAGTATTTAAATGCAAACGGGAGAGCCACGATTTAGCCAGCCGCCGCATAAGGTCCCCCCATACTTTTTAAAATACCTGCAAGAATTAACGGGAAGCCGAGATAAAAACCCCCTTATATCTAAATTTCTTATAAAAGGCCGTTACCTCTGCCCTTAGTGCTAAAGAAAATATCATCGCACCGTCAGTTTTACGGATTATCTGGTCTTAAATCATATCAGGTCCCCCGATCCGAAGGTTTTATTACGATCCGAGCTTGACGCTAGCGTCGATAGCAATATAATCGACTTGACTTCCGAATCATAGGAAATGTCTATAGTGTTAATACTATTTCTCTTGCTCAATTCATGGTGATCCTCTAGTGAATTCTGGTCTCAAGCTCGAATAAACTAGAATACTCGTAGAATTTCCTACACCCTCACGTTCGCGAGCTGGCACCGTACTCCAGTGATTTGACCTGCTCGGAACTGATTTCCACGCTTAATCAAACATAAATTCCACGTGTCTTTTATTCCTTGAATGCCCAGACGGAAAATCGGTCGATCAACCTCTTCCTGGACATACCTGGGCATTTGAGCTAACTCATGAGTTTCGACCCTTTTAACTCACCCATATGAGTTTCGGTCTCACCATACCTCACTCATGAGTTTAACTCAGACTCATGAGTCAACTCACGTAGTTTGGTCATGTGACATCGCCTACTTCCTAAATAGGAAGTTAGTGATAAAAATCTATGGTAACTTATTGAATGAAAGTGAAAAATCACCGCGCTACTCCATATCACTAATATCTATAACGTGGTTCACAAGCGAGTTGTACATACAAGCGAGTTGTACACTCCACATATATTTTCTCCCTTTAATCTTCTAACGCGTTTTAATCAAATCACAACCAATGGATTCCAATTCAAAAGAAGCCAATATCGTCCTTGCCGTCTCTGCTATAAAACGAGACCCAAAGCTCAGTATCCGACAAGCAGCAAAAGTCTACAACATCAATCATAACACACTACGGAACAGAATGAACGGCCGATGCGCTCGACAAGATGTACGCGCCAATTCTATGAGATTGACTTTCCTTGAAGAGGAGACTCTAGTCAAGTTTATTCTCGACCTAGATTCGCGAGGATTCCCTCCCCGCCTCAGTGGTGTTGAAGAAATGGCCAACCTCCTTCTGGCAGAACGCGCCGCAGGACGCGTCGGCAAGCACTGGGCTTCACACTTCGTCACGCGACAACCAGGGCTCAAGACGCGTTTTAATCGCCCATATGACTACCAGAGAGCCCTCTGCGAAGATCCGATTATCATTGACGCGTGGTTTCAGCTTGTGCAGAATATGAAGGCCAAATATGGCATCCTCGATGGGGACTTCTACAACTTCGACGAGACTGGGTTTATGATGGGCATGATCTCGTCCGCAATGGTAGTTACCGGTGCCGACCGACGTGGAAAGGCAAAATCAGTGCAGCCTGGCAACCGGGAATGGGTTACAGTAATCCAAGGGATTAATGCTGAAGGTTGGGCACTCCCGCCGTTTATCGTTGTCAAGGGGTCCTACCATCTCGGCAATTGGTATACAGAAGGCAACCTCCCGCCCTCCTGGGTTATCAAGCCTACCGAGAATGGATGGACTGATAATACGACTGGCTTTGAATGGATACAGCATTTCGATAAATATACTGCCGGTCGCACAAAAGGCAAATATCGAATGTTAGTGGTAGACGGCCATGAGAGTCACCAATCTGCAGAGTTTGAGCAGTTCTGCAAGGAAAGGAATATTATTCCTATTTGTATGCCATCTCACTCATCGCATCTTCTTCAGCCACTTGATGTTGGGCTCTTCAGTCCTTTAAAGCGGGCGTATGGTTATAAGATTGAAGAGCTGATGAAGTACCACATTACCCACATCACTAAGGTCGAGTTCTTTTCCGCCTTCAAAGAAGTCTTCTCGTTGGTTTTTACCGAATCCAATATCAAGGCTGGTTTCAGAGGGTCCGGTTTAGTGCCTCATGATCCTCAGGCAGTCTTGTCAATACTGGATATCAAGTTACGGACTCCAACACCGACTGGCCCCCCTCCAGAAGCAACCGACTCTTGGGTCTCTTTGACACCACGCAACCCGACACAAACACTATCACAGTCTGCATACCTCAAGGATGGAATTGGTCGTCATCAGAGCAGCTCTCCAACACCAATGTATGATGCTGTTGACCAATTTGCGCGAGGAACACAGGCGATAATGCATGAGGTGGTCCTCTTGCGCGAGGAGAATAAGTCACTTAAAGCTGCAAATGAGACACTCAAAAAACGCCGGAGGGCCAAGAAAACGCGTGTGCGGCAAGGAGGGGCCCTTGCTGTAGGGGATGCTCATGATATTCTGGCTCAGAAGGATGTTGATCGGCAGGTAGCTCAAGAATTGCGACAAAATGGTGGTCGGTCGAGGCGGGCTGCAGCGAGCGTTCGGCGATGTGGAACTTGCGGGAAGCCAGGTCATAATGCGAGAACCTGTTCAAAAGATGTAGATTCATCTGGGGAATCTAGTTCTAATCACTCTGAATAGACTTTTTGGGTTGTGGTGTTATAATTAAGCGATAAAGGTCGAAGGGTAGGAGGAAGTGTACAACTCGCTTGTCTGTACAACTCGCTTGTGAACCACGTTAAGCTTTTTTTTTATATTTTAATAAGCTAGTTACTTAAGGTTGTCAACGGCCTCTAGTAGCTGGATTCCAGCTATCTAGTCCAGGATGCTATTTACATCAAAGATGAAGAAGAAAGAAAGAAGTTCCCAAATGCCCCTGAGCTGTGGAACGATTTCCCGTCCCTGGCGCGCACGAGCCTCGTACGTCTTGCGGCACAGCCGCAAGGATATGGGCCCTGGCCCGTGACAGTGATCGGTTAGTGGGTGGTCTGACTTACTAACAACCAGAACTAGAAAATACTAACACAACACAGCCTCATTTTGACAGACCACGCTTCAGCTGCTGAGGATAGGATGCTGAACACTTGGAGAAAATGGCCTTCAAGCAGGCCTGTCAGAGAGAGTCAAGTGAGGCCAAAAGAAAGCGATTCAGGGAGAGAAAGTGGTGCTTTACGCTGTGGTCAGGATTGAAGGTGGCAGAAATGTAAATAGCATAGCGTATTCCATGGCCCTATGAGATCCGTTCCCCGGGCGTAATAAATCTACTACTACTAGATCTCTAAATGGATAATCCAAGTCTACCCCCCTGGCATAAATCAATTCTACCCCCTGCCGTGTGGGGCAAAATAAATCAATTCTACTACAATTGATTTTGGTATGAAGCACTAGGGCAAGAACTCCCCCACCTGGTATCTGGTTCCGAGGGATATCGTGGGTGGAGTTGGCTTGATTGTCCATTCGTTAGTGATGATGCCGAGTTTGCTGAAGGCGGGTTTGGGTTGGACATGGCAATAAACGCGGCGATGCGTTAGGAGCCTAGTTACCAACGGAATGTCGTTGTAGACTAAGTCTTGTCGACATGCTTGGTATTGAGAGGGGGAGAAGCGTGGCTAGTCGATAGTCGGGACTCAAGATAGGTTCTTGGCAGCCAACTGAGTGTGCATTGTCAGTTAACTAAGACTGGGGAAATGGCTGTGGGGTTGTCTGATTGGGCGGCATGGGATTGAGTGGTTGTAGTTGATACATTGCTGGTACTGTGAGGCCTAAGTTGAGATTCCGCGGAACGGGGAGGACGAAGCTTGATCGGTGAAGGGGGGAGGACCCGGGTCCTTGTGGTGGTCCTGCTTGAATATCGCGTTCATCGTTCGATACGACATTTGATGTATGGGGGTGCTCTTTGTGAAAAGATGTCGGACCCTCGGCACTGTGCGGCTGTCTCAATAGATCGAGGCGCTGATCATCAATCTTAGGTCGCTCCGTAGCCTGCATTGCAATTGGGGGTGACTCCGTGTCTTTCCCTTGGTCCTTCGCTTGAAATCGAAGTGGGCCTGGTGCAAAATGGGCTTGACTTGGATGGATTGGACCGTCTGCTAGTGGTGAAATGCGACTTTGTCGGCTTGCGGCTGCTCGGGTTCCATCCACTTCCTCCACTGCTGAAGGGCCGTCTCGGTCCAACCACCCATTCAGTCTGCAGCCATCAGCTGCCATTTGGAGCAATTTTCTATTCCCGAGCGGTCTGTCACGTCCACCTTGGTTGTCTGGGGTTGGAGCCGTGACTGGTTGTACAGAAAAAGACATCGAAGGTGAGATGACGGGTTCGGGCCGGTCGCCAGCTGGAGGAGTTCCTGTGGCCGCTGTCGAAGCTGCATTGCTGGAGAAATCGCTGATTATGGCCACAACGTTGGGGTTCTGATTTTCATGGTGAATCTTCGGATCGGCACTAGGGTTGTGATGAAAGTCAGCTCTGCTCGATGGTATGCCCGCCACGCTGTTGATGCGGCCTTCTTCGGACGACAGTGGCGCCTCTTGGTCATCTGATTGAGAATTATTTTGGCTGAGGCCAGGTTGGGGATTTGACTGTTCCTCTTGGCTTTGTTCTGCCGGCAAAGCCGCTGGTGCGGTGGCGACCGTAGAATCCAGAGTGTCGATGTCTGCCGGGTCCAGTCTCAATTCCGTTTGCTCCATGTTCTTGAGATTTGAATTCTCGGCTTGTTTGCTTCTTTGGGTCTCCAAAAAATCCAGGACTGATTTGAAGTGAGGAGTTAGCTCGAAGCTGGAATCTTGAGTATCAACAGACTGGAGATCGTTGGCTGCCACCCAGCCAACTGAGCTTTCACTCGGAAAATCCAAGCCATCAAAGTACATGACGGGAAATTGTCGCTCTGTAACCAAAGGACCCCCATCTTTGTAGTCCTCTTGCCAACCAAGAATACCCGTCTGGGGATCATAAGTGTAACACGTCGGTAGTTGTTCTGTGAGACCTAGGTCCTGGATTGTGCCTGAGAAGCCAATATCAATGGGTTGCTCGGTGGTAACTCCAGGGAGGACGAGTACAGCTTGCCATTCCCTGGACTTTGACCAGTATCCGAGATAAATGCCGCCTGGGGTTGGATCAACAATTCCATCAAATTTTTTTCGCGGTCTCCGGCCACTCTTGCTCCTACCATTCACACATGCGCTTCCCCTGTTGCCCAACGGCGCGTCTACATGTTGATCTGTTTGTTCGAGAAGCGGCGAGACGTGAATGGATTCAGATTTGTTCCTGGTTCGCGTGCGCAACTTTGACGGGTCGTATCCCGTTCGATATGCCACCAGACATACCCTATTGTTCTCCTCTGCGAGTTTTGCGCTGCAGTTTAGAACACGAACACCAAGGTGCTTGATGGCCATTTCGTGGTCTTTAGGCAGCTTACCGTGAGCCCTCCCGTTGAGATGCTTGGCAGCCGACATGATGGGATGATGTTTGAAACTGAGTCCGTGCTCATCGCACAGAAGAATGTACCACTCGTCACGGAACTGGACTATTGTATGCTTTATAGCGGCGTTCCCGTCTTGGAAGACCTCATCGAACTCGATGGTTCTTTTGGTCTCTGCAGGCTCAGTTTGCCCTACTCGGGCACGTTTTTGTTTACCTGATACGACAGATCCCATTCTTTTTTTCTAAACATATTAGCGGGGAAGCAGGGCTTGAGGTTAGGATCGGAGCCTTGGACTAACGGGATTGATGGACATGGACGAGTTGATGGGCGTGGTCTGGTCTTCGGTGCTGTCGGGTTCTTGCATGTTGGCATCTTGAGACTCAACATTGGGCGGTGTATCTGTAGCGTTGTGTTGAGATGCTGACTGTGTGTTCTCTTGCGATGTGGCGCCTGTTGGAGCAAGGGGCCCGTTAGCAGGACTGCGCAATCCTGGCACAGGCTCCGTTGGGCATTCCTGTAAGATCTCCGTCACCAAGGATTTCCCAAATATGTCGACCATATCCCTGCAGAGCTTTCTAACTTGTGCTTCCAGTGAGGCTCTGTACGCCTTGTCGTCTTCCTTGATGGTAGCGGCGTGCTTGAGCTCCAGTTCCCTCAACTGACCACCGAGCTTCAGTGTGCTCTGTTGCAGGGTTGTCAAGTCTTGCCGGGTGAGGTTGGACGAAACGCGCGCCCACTCCTGCTCAACACTATCCTTCAGCACTGCCATCTGCTCCTGGTACAAAATATAAGGAGACTTGATGTCCTCGAGATGTTGGCAGACTTGTGACACGCACTCTTCCATGGCTCTGATCTGGAGCAAGGAGGGTGGGGGGTCGGGTTCCGCCATGGTCTTTGTGGCCGCAGTAAAAAAGATTGGGAGGATGGTACCCCGATGAAGTACCAAGACCGTTCCGGGTTGGCTCCTTAAAGCTCACGCTCGCTGGTCGTTGAGACCAGGCGAGATGCGGTTTCAGCTGGTAAGATGAGAGAAGTACCGGAATCGCGAAAGCTTTGGAGGGCTCTGGGACTGATTGGAGAATAGCGGATGTGCCGGCATTGTTATGTTGGTTGGTCATATCCACATAACTAGTCTGGTTGCCTGGTTCACTAATTTTGACCCTGTCGGTTTCACCCCAACACGTGATTACGGACGGCTATATCTAGCACTGGGTCAAAACGAGTTTCTGGATAGATCCACGGCGGCCGTGGGCACGGACTACTACTGGCTAGATGCAAACCGCTAGTCCAAATTAAGCAATAGCCAATACAATCGCTTTAAAAGTTAGGAATTGTGGATCCCCTACCGCATCCCAGCTTTTCCAGCCCTTCCTTTAACGCTCTTTTTCCCTCCAACCAATTCAACCGACCAGGTAGGTTCTACCCCGACCACTGGATTTCCACCCCGCGCCCACACAATACCCTCTTGCTGCATACGCCACCGATCGGGAGCGATCAGGTTAACATGCAGCGTCTTTTTCGCGTTCAGTACCGTCCAGAACCGTCGCAATTGAGCGCCTGCGCGGAAGCGATCGCTCAATTGCGACGGTCAACTGGCCTACTCCCTTGCCTGGCAGTCACGTGCCTGAGCGCCTGCCCGGCCTTTGTTCTGGTTCTCGCCTTTCTGGCCTTTTTCAGCAGTTTCCGCAGTTACCCAATAACCGGTTTTTGCCCCACCTTCCACGCGAAATCCACATCTCGTACGGCCCCGTACGGCTCCTTCCGGCCTCCACCTCAACTTCATTCACATTTTACCCATGTTTCCCCCCCCCTCCGTTCTGCTCCGTACATATGCTAACACTCGCGTACAGCCCCGGTTTGTCGATAGCCATTTTTCGTACAATTTTCCGTACGCCTCCGCTCCCGAACACCCCCGAACGACAATGCCTCGCGGATCTCGCTCCGGTAAGGGCAGAAAGGGTGGAAAGGGCACGTCCGGAACCGCTCCGACCCCGAACGACGCTCCGGCCCCGAACGGAGGCGGCTCGGCCTCGAACGACAGCGGACGCGCCTGCTCGGAGCTGCCCGACTTCCAGCCCTGGGTTCCCCCCAACCATCCTAGCTGGACGCCCCCGGACACTCGCGTTCACGGCCATCAGCTCCCGAACGCGGAGCTAGAGGATGACCAGCCGGACGAGACCGTTAGCGAGCATTTAACCGCCTGGGTCCTTAAGCGTACGCTCCCGTTCTTGCCCAGTTTTTACCCGCTCACGCCAGTTCTAACCCGTCTGCCAGACGTCTCCAAGAATGTTTCCGCCGCCGTTCGTGCGCTCGCCCAGAACTACTTTAAGGTTTGTCTTTTGCTTCCACCCGTAGCCGTACGGCACTATGTGATAACATACGCTTACGTTTACGTTAGATTAAGCGTATTATGGGCGTCCGTACCCGTCCGGGCGCAGACGGAACCGCTTACTATAACACTCTCAACCTAAAGCGGGGCGCCAATTATAACGCAGCCTTCTACCATCTGTACGGCAACTTACGGTCCGGAACGGACGCGTGCGGCCCGTGCCAGAGGGATTTGGGCCCGTTCGACAGCTGCGTTCAGATCAACGGTGCCTGCGCGAACTGTCGCTATAACTCCGCGGCTAAGCGCTGCACTCTCTACGGTACGTACGCCCCCGTTTGCCCCCATTCTTCCCCGTTCTAGCCAGTTCGCTCCCGTTCTGATATATTTTTTTAGTTAAGGACGGAGATGCTAAGCCTAGGGGTAAGAAGCGCGGCTGTAAGCGTAAGGCCCTTGACGATAACGATAACATTCTTAACGCCATCCATTCCGTCCCCCTCAAGCACCTCCATACACTCGCGGACGTCTTTAATAAGGTCGCCGACGATATCGAGGACGAGACTGGTATATATATCCCCATCTATCCCTGTACGGGAGCGTGCAGGCCCATACAGCTTTAAACGGAGGGCTAACTTTTTCCAGATAAGTCTAATTCTAATTAAGTTATTTTCATTAGCATTCAGGACAGTATACCCCGCAACCGGCCCCATCTGGCTTCGCATAGTCGGTCGGCATTACATTTTTAGAAAGGGTTTTTAACATACTATTCTTATCTGCAGACTTTTTTTCTTTTTTTTTTAGGGGGGGGGGGGGGGGATAGACAAACAGGCCTGTTCGGAAATATAAACTCCTCCTGTTTATTCATAACTATTTTAGTCTTTTAGTATTTCAGATAGTCCGGCTCTATATAAAGGGTTTCGCCCCCGTACGGCCTAGAAATAGATCTTATACTCTTTATTTTTCCTTCCCCTATATATATAATTCTATCTTAATATTTTATTATTTATTTATTGAAATATCTTCTATACGCCCCCGAACGTCCCTAAACACGCCGATCTAATACCATAACAGAGGATCGATCTCAAGCCCTACCGGAAACAAATCCATAGAAAATAGCAACTACGCTAGACGAACGCGGCCTTATACGAATAGCTCCGGACGGATTTGAACGTTCCTATTTCCGATACTACCTTAAAGCGCTTTCTTCGAATCTGGGGCTTCCAACATAAAGGTCGTACAGAAGTAACTGACGCCCTCCAGGACCGTTTACGCTTCCACTTCTTCGAACACTACCTTACGGACGAACGGTTGCTCCAAGTACTACAATCTGAGGGGTTTTCTATTACCCAAAATAGCCTCGTACGGCTACGGCAAGAGATGGACCTCCGAAAGCGGCATACCCGAGAGGAAAACATTACCCTGCGAGAACAAGCCATCGGTCGTATCGCCCAAGCAGTTGATCCAACGCGCCGTTTGGCAGGTTACGGGCGCGAATACCTCCGAACGGAGCTGCGCCAGCAAGGATTCTCTACAAGCCGAGATGTCCTTTACTCTGCCTATAAAGAAGTCCACTAAAGGAGCTTCCGAGACCGGCTGGACGAGTTCAGACGGCGCCGTACGGGCTGGACCTGCCCTGGGCCTAACTTTATCTGGTCTATCGATGCGTACGATAAATTAAAGCCGTACGGCTTTGAGATTTACGCTGGGATTGATGCCTACTTGAGATATATCCCTTGGTTTTTCGTTGGCTTTAGTACGCATACGTCTATCGGCGTTGGCCTCTAATATCTCTCGATCATTCGCGAACGTGGCTTTACGCCGCGGATTATACGGGCTGATCGTGGGAAGGAAACTCCGGTTGTTGCTGGCCTCTATTGGTATCACTCGAGTCATACTGGGCGCGAACGGATACAACCGCTCACGGGCGAGGCCGTACCGATTAAGTTCAAGGACTGTTTTGTATATAGCAAGAGTATCCATAATATCAAGATCGAGAGCTGGTAGAATCGTCTTTATAAAAGCCGTTTGCAGTTCTGGCGGGTAAGATACTATTATACGCCCCCGAGTACCCCTAATCGCCTCCGTACTGATATATTTAGACGGTTTTTGGAACTCTATATATAATAGGGCTTTTCGAACTCAGTTATATCTATAATCAGATTGCCCTTCTATATATATATATAGAACCCTTAGATATAGACCTGCGCGGTTTTGTATGGGTATGGAATAACTATTATATCTATAAATAGCCCAACTGACCTTATATTATCCCTGGGGTCCCGTACGTCCTCTTTTACCACCCCGAACAGTCCAGTACGGAGGATTACGGGGAGCTAATTATTCCAGCCGTACTAGAGGAGATAGAGGAGCTTCTTAGTTATAGATTATTCGATCTATTATTGTATCTCTCTGCCGAGGTATTGGCGCTTTATAAGTCCATACTCAGCCGTTCAGTCAGGGATGGGAGCGAATAGCGCTGTGTAAATGGTGTTGATATTCCTCTTTATTGCTTGTATATTTACTTACGTGAATAACTTGAGGATTACTATAAATCCGGAGTCGACTTACGATTATACCTCCAGGAGCTGCTAACTGGAGGTATTCAACATCTAGAGGATGAACTGAGGACACGAGGATTTGATCTGGACGGGCATGTTCGTGGGGGAACGGATGATTCCGATAATAAATAGGATGTAAATTCGGAGATAGGGTCAGCTCGAAACTAGCTATTAAGTGAGGTCTGTAGTCTCCAGACAGGCCTGTTCAGAACCTTTTGCGTGCGAACGTGTACCCTTGAATACTTCGAAGGGGTCGGACTGTAAAGGGTTATCCCTAAAGAGATCTTCGTAATCGTCGTCTATACTATATCCTTTAGATGTCCGCCGAATAGGCTTGTCCGTCCCGTTGTTAACCTTTACCCCCCGGACGGGGCTGTTTATCTCCGCTTTGACTGAATCCTGTTGAGTTGACCCGCTGGCCTCGGCCTTAACCGGTATAGCTACCTTCTTGTTGACCTTCTATACTGGCCTATCCGCTTCTATTTTAATTCGTTTGGCTGTTAAAGTAGACTGTTTCTTAACCTTAACTGTAATACTAGCCAGTGGCTTGGATGTATTGTATTTATATTCTTGTGGCTGGGCCAGTATGGTCCTTTTCCTTTTTATACTGACCTTTTTATCCCGTTCTGGTTATTCGGCCGAGATATCAGTATGTAGGTATAGGCGGATTTCCGACCGAGGTAG